ATTGAAGGCGGATGTGAAAGGCGGTGCGGCTTGCGAGTAGGCGGAGGGAGGAGGGTTCGGAAGGATGGGGGGAGCAGGAGGGAGGGCCTGCCAAAGCGCCGGTCAGCACGATTCGGCGAAGTGCGCGAAACGACGCACCGAAGATTCAGCCTGCTGCGACGCGTTCGCCTGCACTGGCGGCGTCCACCCAAGCCGCAGCAGCTCCTTCGCGAGGTTCGAGTGCGGGTCGAGCGCCTGAACAGCCGCGCTCTGCAGCGGATCCGCCTGCGCGGGCGCTGCAGCGTTCGAAGAGCCCGCCTCGCTCGTCGACTGTTCCTCCTCAGGCTGCTCAGGCATCCACTTCGAGACGAGTCCGTCGAAGATGTCGGCGGTCTGGACGGCGCAAGGCCATGCCCGTCCCATCTCGCGCAAGATACGACTGCACGAGCGAGTCGCCTCTCGAGCATCCGTCGCTCGCTTCTTCTGACCCGCTGCATCGGCATTGACGAGCGCGAGCAGGTGGGTCGTCGCAGCAGCGAAGGCGATCTGGGTAGCCGAGATGGGCGCGAACCGCAAGCCTGGCGAGCGCTGGTACAGTTCGAAGAGGGCGACGATGCGGGTCGCGGCGCTATTGCAGCGCTTGATCGCCGATTCGTTGATGGGGACGTTGTTGGGCGAGTTGTGCCGGACGTAGTAGGGGCGGTGGAGCAGGATGATGCAGAACTGGTACATGCAGTTGAGCCTGCGGAGACACCAACATTAGCGAGATTGACGTTGAGGAGAGGTTGCGACGCACATGCAAACATGTGGCGGAGGCGGCTTCGACGTTTGCGGCGCGATCCGCAAGTCGACCGGCAGACTCGACGCCCACGTCTCGAGCTCAAGACTGCAATCCGTACGAATCAGCTAGAAGCGCAATGTGAGGACGAAGGAGCGAACACACTGAAGTTCCGAGACGCGGTTCAAGACTTGCGCCGAGTAGAGCTGCACTCGAAGCGCATATACCAAGACAAGGATCTTCTCCTCGATGACGGCGAGGCGGCAGGTCCAGTGGAAGGTGGAGGAGAGCAGGCTGGATAGCGGCTTTGTGGGCGAGTCGCCGGCAGCGGGCAGAGGCGACCAGGGTTCCTTGTCGCAGTCGACATCGACAACTGGTAAGGCAATCTCGATGATGTTGCGCAGGATGGACGGGTTGCGACCGACGTATGAGGACCAGAGCCTGCTCAAAGGGGAGTCAGCGTGAGCGGGTGTGAACGCGGCTGGTCCGCATGAGCGGGAGTGCAAAGGAGAGGCTCGTCTCCACCGCCAGCGAAACAATGGAGACGCACTTGTCCTGCACGTACGCGCACCACATCACCCGGTCCCTCGCATTCCGCGTCTCCTCCGTCAACAACCCTCGCGAGACGTACGCCGACGCATCGATTCCCAATCCCAGCGTATGGCTCATCCTGAACGCAATCCCGCTGTAGAGGTAGCCGAGACCTTGTAGGCCGTTCCCGCTGTGGTAGGATCCGAGGAGGAGGAGGCCTTGCAAGGTTGAGAGCATCGGTCGCTCGCCTTCATCCTCGACGAGCGCCTTGGCTCGTCCCGAAAGCTCCTTCGCGTCGGAGCGATCGCGGAGGCGCTCGTCGTCCGAGAGCGAGCAGGCAAGGGAGAGGAGGGCGTTGTGGAGGAGCGGCGAGTAGGCGGATGTTCGGACTGAAGGAGTTGGGTGGGAGGGATCGATCGTAAGGCAGACGGCGAGGTCGTGTCGGAAGGCGGCTTCCTCGACCCAGTGGCACCAGCCGTTGAAGTAGCGGAAGAAGCGGATGAGGAGGTTGTCATGTAGCTCGGCGTCCCACTTCTGGGCGACAGCGGGAGGCAGATGTCGCTGCCAGTCGAGTGGACCGCTGGGAAGAGGCGATGTCGCGGCGCGGTAGGAAGGGAAGGGCGGAGAGGCGGCGGTGAGAGTCGACGCTCGTCGACGGAAGAATGAGTTCGTCTGGGCGGACAAGGGTGCGCCGGGAGACTGCGAGAGCGCTCGCGAGTCGTCATTGTTAGGAGAAGCGAGAGGTTCCGGGAGATGTTGAAAGGCTGATGTCGGGCCGTAGTTGGTGAACTCGAGCGTCTCTTCGTCGAGCTGCGGGGGCCAAGAGTCAGCCATTCCGCGTTTGAGGCGGTAGCTCTCAGCTCGCTCGAGTGAAGGGCCCGAGCAGGCTGTCCCCACGAGCGAGAGTTGAGGAGCTGTCGAAGGGAACGCACCTTCAACCTGTCCAAGCCAAGATCCGCCTGCACGCCGTCCTGCGCGGCCGTCCCGTCACCGCCCACGTCTAACGCACCGTCAAGCGTGGCTGCATCGTCCGAGACGCCAGCCTGCGTGAGGAGGGCCTCCAGGACCTTGACCCGTTCCTCGAGCGCTGTCACGTAAGTCTTCGACGCGGGCTTTCGTCCGTCCGTCTCGCCGCTATAGGCGCATGTGTCGTGATACAGTGTGCAGGTAGCTGCACGCGATAAGCGATGTCAGCTTGAAAATAGGGCGAGAGAAGCGGAAGACTCACAACAAGGCGACTTTCCGTCGCATTTCGACTTCCTGCGTGCGGGCTAACGCGTTAGTACTGACCGAGGAGAGTACTGCGAGGGCTGCAAGCACCTTCGGCGGCACTGCTGGCATGCCCGCGTCGCGTTCCTCCTCACGGCCTCTGTTCCCCTCGAGACCGTCTTGCGGCCGTCCTTTTCGGGTCGCCGCTGGCTCAGCATGGCACAGATAAGTCCAGCGCAGTCAAAGCGAGTGTCGGTGAGCGCAACGAAGGAGGAGCGAGTCGTGCGAGGAGGAAGAGAGTGGGGCAAAGGTTCGCCGCGTCCCGAGTCGAAGACAGGGGTGCCAACGACGACGAAGCTTTCTTTGTTTCTCGCGAAGGTACAGCAGCCAGGAGAACAACAGAAAGTATAACAATCGACGACGAAAGGGATCCGCGGCTATTCACTAGACACCAAGTTGCGCCGCCGCCCGCTCAGCGAGACTTCCGACCAGTCCAACGAGAGTAGGCTTGCTCGCCGCCTTCGACGCACTCGGAGCGACGTTCTCGTCTTGCCAGTCCTCGTCGCCCCAAGCTCCTGCGCCGGGCGTGTGGATAACGAAGCGGTCGCCGGCGCCCATCTTGATTGTGCTTCGCGGTCCAAGGTTGATGACACTGCGAGCAGCCTCGATGTCAGCGTCGAAAGCGAGAGGAGGAGTGTGAGACTCGTACGCACCGAGGCGACGAGTCGTCGGCCTTCCAGTCGCCGTCCTCCTTTCTGCGCTGCTTGATCCACAAGTTCTTGCCGCGCTCGCCAGGCTGGCCACCCTTGAGACCGTACGGTTGATTGACGCGACGCTCCGACAGGATGGACGCCTCGATAGGAATCGTGAACTCGACGTCCCGCACGACTCCATCGCCGCCCTTGAACTTGCCCTTGCCGCCGGATCCCTCGCGGATGCTGAACTCGTGGAGGAGGCACGGATAGCGTCGTTCGAGCGTCTCGACGTCGGTGATGCGGGTGTTGGTCATGTGGCAGTGGATGCCGGACTCGCCGTGCCAAGAGGGACCAGCTCCGCTGCCGCCAGCGATCGTCTCGTCTGCAATGTGCGGAAAGTCAGTCATAGAAGCTTGAAAGGACGAGAAAGATACGTGCAGTAACCGAAGTTTGAAGTGCCAAAAGTAAAGTTGTTGCAGTCGCCTTGCGACGCCGCGACGGCCTCGAAGCAGCGGAGAACCGTGTCGGTGACCCGCTGGCTGGTGGTGACGTTGCCGCCAACGACGGCGCAGGTCTCGGACGGGTTGAGGATCGTGCCCTTGGGAATCCTGAGCTCGATAGGCGCGAGGCAGCCGGCGTTGAGCGGGATCTCCTCGTCGCACATGATGCGGAGGCAGTAGATGACGGCGGAGGAGCAGACGGCCATCGGCGCATTGAGAGACGACCAGGTCTCGGGGCCCGTTCCTTCAAAGTCGAAGACGGCGCTGCCGGTCTCCTCGTCGATCGTGATGGTCAACTCGATAGGCGAGCCGTCGTCCATGTGGTCGATAGCGTGTAGGACATTCTTGCCCGCACGCTTGGCCGCCTTGCAGAGGAGGTTGCGGACGGCGAACTCGGCGTTGTCGCGGATGAAGCCCATGTAGCGCTGGACCGTATCGAGGCCGTACTCGTCAATCACTGCGGGTTCAAATACGATGGATACGGGTCAGTAATGCGGCAAAGAGGTTGGAAAAGGCGGTTGGGCGGGGAGGAAGGGAAAGAGGAGGCTACGGGGGACTCACAGCCGTAGAGGAGGGTCACAGCGCGATGGTTCGCAGCGATCTGCGCCTGCAAATCCGACTCGACGTCGCGGAAGCAGCGGGAGCCCGACGAGCCAGGGTACGAAGCGGGTTCCGTGACGAGTCGCTGGTACAATCCCTCGCGGTCGTACTTGCCCTGGCGCACGATTTTGAACGTCTCGATGTTTGCGCCCTCCTCGAAGATGGTCGTAGCGTTCGGAGACATCGATCCGGCCGATACGCCGCCAATGTCGGCGTGATGTCCGCGAGATGCGACGAAGAAGATGATGTTCTTCTTCTCGGCGTCGAATACTGGACGCACGGCTGTGAGATCAGGCAAGTGGCTTCCTCCAGCGGTGGGAGAGTTCGTCAGGAGAACATCGCCATCGACGATGCCGTCGCCGCTGGGCGAATCCGGTCCGACGCCGAGAGTTGCGACCTGGTAGCGGACGGCGAAGGACATTGAGCCGAGGTGGACGGGCAGGTGAGGCGCATTGGCGATGAGGTCTCCGTTCGGAGCGAACAGCTGCAGGCGGAACGAGGTTAGCGGAAAGGCAAGGGACTAGGAGGAAAGGAAGGGACGCGACTGCACACGAAAAGTCGAGCCTTTCCTTGATGTTAGTGCTCTGGGACGAAGAGAAGGTCAGCAGAAGCGTCCACGGCGTTTCCAAGGAGAGTAGCGCGCGATAGCGAAGCTGGGAGGAGGAGGAGGAGGAGGAGGAGGGAACTCACGATGGAAGTGAGCTGGAGAGCGCGACCGGCGGCCTCGGCGACGCTCATAAAGCGGTTCGCAAATAGCGTAAGCAGGATGGGGTCGGGTTTCTCGATGGCCATGGCGAGTTGTTCAGGTCGAGGTGGTGAGGAGGAGAGGATGCGCGAGGACGGCTCGACAGCCTGTGCGAGCGCGTCGGCCGGTGTGGGGCTGTAGTAAAGCGGATTTCGACATCTAGCGGGACCTTTCGAGCGCAAGATAACGCAAAGTGAGCGTCAACGACGAAGTCAAGTTCCGGCCGACGACTCTCTCGCGCTCTCACCACTCGCGACCTCGCTCCGACTGGCTGGAAGTCTGCGCGGAGCTTAAGACGATGCTAGAGTATACATCCCGGCTGGTCCGCTGCTCTGCCGGCCCTCTGCTGGCGTCGCTTCACGCCTTCGCCATTCTCATCAGTTGACGGGTCCGTCTGATTCCCGGACGGCAACAACTGCTTGGGCGGCTTTGGGACGACTTGGACTCCCCCGGACAGCGATTCAGAACCCCCACAGCACGAGCCCATCCCGCCCGCGGCCGCCAGAGACACCGCTCACTTCGACCTCCCTCCCTTCTCCTCCTCAACTGCTCTGCCAACTCGCTCAATACGCCTGTCTCGGACACGACCCACACGCAGTTCAGCTTGCTAGCTACTCTTGACACACGCACCTAGCCGCATTGCGCTGTACCGCCTTGAGCCCTTCCTCCTCGCCATGCCTTCCATCCTCCCGGCCTACACGCTTCCCGACCACAGCATTCAGGTAGCGATCGACAGAGGAGGCACCTTCGGGGGCACGTATCGCACGTCGTCGTACGAGCGCGTAGAACTGACGCCGTTTGCCGTCGACAGACGTTCACGCCAGCTGGCCTCTGGAGGACGGCGAGCGCAAAGAGATCATCTTCAAGCTCCTCTCGGTCGACCCCTCGCACTACGCCGATGCACCTACCGAAGCCTGCCGCCGTGTCCTCGAACTTGCGACCGGTACGAAGATCCCTCGAGGCGTCAAACTTGAGACGGCCAAGTTCGACTACATCCGGTGCGTGAGCTCGCAAGTTCCGGGCGTACCTTACGTGCTGACTTGTACCGTGCATGCAGCCTGTCAACAACGGTCGCGACCAACGCCCTCCTCGAGCGCAAGGGCGCCCCTCACGTCTTCGTGACGACCAAGGGCTTCCGCGACCTCCTCCGGATCGGCAACCAGTCTCGACCCAACATCTTTGCTCTCAACGTCCGTCGCGCCGAGGTCCTGTACGAGTCGGTTCTCGAGGTCGACGAGCGAGTGACCCTTCACGGCTACACCTACGACCCCGACTTTGAGAAGAACGCGCCCAAGTTTGACGACGCTGGCAAGCTCATCAGCGACCACGAGGGCGAGTTCGTGCGTGGAGTGTCGGGAGAAGCGGTGCAGATCCTGCGGAAGCCCGGTGCGTCTCGCCTCCTCCTCTCCGGTAAACCTTCCTGACTCTTCTTTCGCTTCAGACCTCGCCAAGGTCCGCAGCGACCTGCAGGCGATCTACGACCGTGGCGTCCGCTCGGTCGCCATCTGCTTCGTCCACTCGTTCACCTTTCCCGACCACGAGAACCTCGTTGCCGACATCTGCCGCGACATCGGCTTCCCTCAGATCTCTGTCTCGTCAGCGCTCTCGCCGCAGATCAAGGCCGTTCCGCGCGCAACGTCTGCCTCGGTCGATGCCTACCTAAACCCGGTGCTCAAGGACTACCTTCGCGGCTTCTTCAAGGGTTTCGAGTCCTCCCTCGCCGACGGTACGTCCGGGGCACGCGTCGAGTTCATGACAAGCGAGGGCACCCTCGTCGACGTCGCTCACTTCTCCGGCCTGCGCTCCATCCTCTCTGGGCCGGCCGGCGGCGTCGTCGGCTACAGCTTGACGAGCTGGGACGAGAAGGAGCCTGGCAACCGTCCACTGGTCGCACTCGACGTTGGCGGAACTAGCTCAGACGTGTCACGCTTCGATGGACGCTTCGAAAAGACGTACGAGACGACGACGGCCGGCGTCTCGATCCAGTGCCCGCAGCTCGACATCAATACGGTTGCCGCAGGAGGAGGTTCATGCCTCACCTTTCGCAACGGGCTCTTCCGCACGGGTCCCGAGTCTGCCGGTGCGCATCCTGGACCGGCGTGCTACCGCAAGGGCGGCCCGCTCGCCATCACCGACGCCAACCTCGTCCTGGGCCGCCTCGTGCCCGAGATCTTCCCTCGCATCTTCGGCCCGAGCGAGGACCAGCCCATCTCGCGCGAGGACTCGGTCAAGGCGTTCGAGGAACTGAGGCGCGAGATCAATGCCTACAACGTCGAGCACGGCAACGGCAAGGAGATGACGCTCGACGAGGTCGCTTTCGGGTTCATCAAGGTCGCGAACGAGACGATGGCCCGCCCGATCCGCGCGCTCACCGAGTCGAGGGGTTTGTCGACGTCCAAGCACATCCTCGCGGCTTTCGGCGGAGCCGGCGGTCAGCATGGTGCGCTTGCGCTTCCTCGCCTTTTCTTACGATCGATCCTGACGAGCGCTACCGCAGCCTGCGAACTTGCGCGCACCCTCGGCATCAACACAATCCTTATTCACCGCTACTCGTCCATCCTCTCGGCCTACGGCATGGCCCTCTCGAACCGCGCCTTTGAGAAGCAGGAGCCTTGCGCAGCCGAGTACAACGACGCCAACAAGCCGGCCCTGCTCGACCGCATTGAGCGGCTGCGAACGCAGGTCGTCGAGGAGCTTCGGCGGCAAGGCTTTGCGGCGAACAGGATCGACGTCGAGTGCTACCTGAACATGCGGTTCGCTGTGTGTTCACCCTCTTCATTGCGCTCACTCGCTGACACGCTCCCATCCTGCAGCTACGACGGCTCCGACACGTCTCTCATGACCCTCGCTCCCGCCGACGGCTCGTTCGACTACCAGTCCGCGTTCGAGGCAATGTACCGCACCGAGTTCGGCTTCCTCATCGAAGGCAAGGCCGTCATGGTCGACGACGTCCGAGTACGCGGTATTGGCCGCACGTTCGACTCGCTCGGCGAGTCCGTCCACGCCGAGGTTCGCAAGACGACCTTCTCGCCCGCCGGCGTCGATGCCAAGGCGGAGAAGAGTCGGACGAGCATGTACTTCGAGCAGACTGGCCGCGTGGACGTCCCCGTCTACCTGCTCGACAACCTCGCGACCGGCGACCTAGTCGAAGGACCGTCCGCCATCGTCGACGGCACGGCCACCCTGATCCTCGACCCGGGCGCATCGGCCAAGATCTGCTCTCGTCATGTATACATCACTCTCGCTTGAGCTGTAACTCGGGAATTGTTGTTCATCGTTACCGCTCCTCCTTGTCTACGAGATGAGCGCGCATCGGCAGCGCGACCGCCTCCTTGTCCTCCCATACCGCCTCGTGCAGCTTGCCCTTGAACCTGTAACGTATCCGGAGAGCCTTCTTCTCGCCGATGGCGGGGTCGTAGAAGCCGAGGAGGGAGGACTTGCTTCGGCCGGAGGGAATGGTGAGTTGCGAGAGCGATGGTGGGAGGAGGGCTTGGAGGGGGACTGCGAAGGCGACAGAGTCAGCGAACAGGCTCGAGTCGGGATCGAGAGACCGGGCACACCTGTGACATCGAGCCAGCGAAGTTTCGCCTCATCTTCGACCTTCTCCTTTGTCGCCTCGAGCACGCCGTAGATCGCCTCTTCGATGACCAGGCCTGCCAAAGGACGGTTTCAGCTTGTCACGGTGAGAAAAAACGCTCAACCGGCTCACCATTCTTCGCCTCCTCGTCCTTGATCCGCTTCTTGACATGCTCCGCCAACAACGCCTGCGCATCGAGCGCCTCCTTCCTCCGCTCCCGAATGACCTCCGCATGCTCCTTCCGCAACTCGCGAATCTTGCCGCTGACGCGCTTGCGTTTCCGCGGCGCGAGGACGAGGTGGTTGGTCGCGATGAGCGAGAGGGCGGGAACAACGGTGAAACCGAGGAAGATGCGCGTGTCGAAGCCGGAGGAGACGATGAAGGGGAGGTTGATGCGCTGGCCAAGGCGGGCGAAGCTGCGTGCGCAAGAGAAGTCAGGCGACAGAAGGGATAAGATGCGCTGACCGGCGAACGCACCGCAGCTTGACGGTCATCGCGCCGTTCGCCGCAACTTCGAGACCCATCCCTGCCTTGACATTCTCCGTCACTCGCCTATCCGCATTGATGCTGACACTCGCCGCTCCAACGTTCGTCACCGCTCCACCAAGCGATAGCTTGACGCCTCCCAGCACCGTCTTTGCCCAGTTGACGCTGACCTGCTTGACGAACATGGCGCTCGTCGCTTCGACGCCCCAGCCAGACGCGTGGTTCAGTCCGATTGAGATCGAGCTGTCCGAGTACGGCTGGAGGAGGTGCGCTCCCCATGAACCGATCGCCCATGCGCCTGAGCGGAACGTAAGCGTTCCAGTCGTGTGACGGTAGATCCGTCGGCCAATGACGAGGGAGAATTTTGGGGGTGCGGCGAGATTGCGAACGGGGAAGTCGAGGCGGGCAAAGGTGTCGGGTGAGGGAGAGTAGGTACCCTTGAAGGTAAAGGAGCGGGGACGGAGGACTGTCGTGCCGAGCTCGAGCGAAAGTCGGCTCGAGGGGTTGTGCTGGAGCTTCAGCAGCATGTTGCCGGCGCCTTGGCCTTGTCGTGCGACGAGCTGGGTGCTGGCGAGGATGGCGGTTGAGGGAGTGAGGGGTGTCTGCGGGTCAAGCGGGTCAGATGGGCTGCAGAAGCACACATAGCCGTCGAACGCACTGTGAACTGGTGCTTGAGGAAGAGCTGCCGTGTCGTGACCGTCTGCAACCGCTCGACGATGCCCAGCTTCTCTGGCCCGCCTAGCCGTTCGAGCTCCTCATCCGGCAAGAACAATACTCGCGCATCTGAGATGACAGTCAACTCGCCCTGCACAAATAAAGTCAGGCGACAAAACGCAGAACAGACGGGGGAGATGCGCACCTTGCTCTTGACGAGATTCTCGATGTTCTGCTCGAGCTGTTGCCGGTTCATCCGCTCGTACTCTGCGCGGAGCTGGAGCGCAGGAAAGGATCAGGAAACGCGAGACTGGGTCGCTCGTCTTCCAGCGTCCGCGATCCTCAAACTCACCTCTGCAGCCGTTTTCCCCTTCGTCGCAACCTCCCAGTTCGTCTTCAAGCCCTTCTCGCCCAGCTCATCGTAGATTGCTCGTCGATGTGGGTCGGAGAGAACTTCGTAGGCGTGCTGGATCTGAGCGAAGCGGGCATCGGCAGAGGATTTGAGGGAAGGGTCGCGGTGTCGGTCCGGGTGCAGGAGGGCTGTGGGCCGGCCTATCAGCTCTGCATGACTTGACACGGTAAAGGAGATCAGAAACGCACCTGCCAGCCTTCGGTAGCTCTTCTGAATCTCCTCCTCACTCGCCGTCCGTTCGAGGTTCAGCACCGCGTACAGCCCGTCCCGGTCGGCGTCCGTTCCGAAAGCCTCGCCGTCGTCTGCATGCCTGTCGAACAGCGGATCCGACTGCTCCCACGAGTCGTCCTCGCCTAATCCCTCCAGCGGAGTCTTTCCGAACGATGCGCCGAAAGTGCTCGCCGACATCGCGGGCGGTCAAACGGACAATTCCGAGTAGTAACAGGCAGTAGCAGGCAGTCCCTGACGTCGTCCCAGCAGTCGATCGGGCCCGTTGAGCGCGTAGAGAGCGAAGGGAGCGGAATGACGGAGCGAGAGGATGGTTTGGCTCTTCCAGTCGACACGGTTCAAGCGAGAAAGGGCAAGTGCAGCGATGGCAGACACTGTGAGTGCTACGGACCGCGTACAAACCCCTGCGAGCTCACCTACTGCTGTTTGCAGGCTCCCTCTCCTCCTGCCGACTTGCAACCGTCGACGTCGACACGCACCACTCCGCGGGAGCACGCAGCGCGGGCATTCGCACCAGAAGACGTCCCAGTGCCTCCAGTCAACCTGCGCGGACCGCTCATCCCGACTCCCGACACCCTTGACCCCGTCTCTCCCCGTCTCTCCCCCGAACCCTCTTCGCCGCCTCAACCACCGACTGGCCCTCCCGCTACGAACGAACTGCCTGCGCCGAGCCCTCCACTAGAGACTGTGCAGCCACAGGGCGAGATCGCGGCGGCCGGAGTCGAGATTGTCCTCGGCGAGGACGAGCAGCAGGATGCGGCGGCATGGCAGCGCGAGCGGATTGAACGGAAGCTGCGCGGCGAGTACGAGCGAGCAGGGCGCCATCTGGCAGAGATCGTGCGTCCGCTTCACTCTCTCCAAAATTACGACAGGCTGACCCCAACTCGCGCAGGTCAACGACAACTTGGATGCTCCCCTCCGCCTCAACGCCATCCGCATCCTCGGCGCACCTTCGACTCGCCCGTCTTTCCTCTCTCGCATCTTCGCCCCCTACCTCGCACCCCTCCCGCCTCCCTCTTTCCTCGCAGCTACCTTTTCTCCCGACTCGTCCGCGCATGCTCCCCCCTCAAAACAGACTCTGCGTTCTCTCCTGCAGGCGACGCGGGATTTGACGGCCACGCTGGAGAAGTTCGATATCTATCGGGGTATCGAGGCGAGTTTGGAACGGAGCGACAGCGTGTTGAGCGAGAAGGAGGATGTCGACATCGTCTTGCGGGTGAGGGAGGCGCCCAAGTATTTCTTGCGGACATCGACGGATGTGGGAGACGGAGAGGGGAATGCTGTGAGTCACCCCTGCTTCCTTCGTGTCTGACACTCGCTCACTCTGCTGTGTATGTGCAGTCTGCAACGGCCAAGATTCGCAATGCATTCGGCGGAGCCGAGACGATCGAAGGAAACGTCTCATTCGGGACACGGACAAAGTCTGCCTTCCAGGTGCGTCTCGTCCATTCCGCCGGGCGCGGAATTCCCGCTGACCTCGGTCGAGCAGGTCAAACTGGACACTCCGGTCAACTCTTCTACGACGACGCATGCCGACCTGAGCGTCTTTTCCGCACAACGGGACCTCAACTTTTACGCCAGCTGTCACGAGGCGACGAAGGGCGCGATGGCGCGGTTGCGGGTGCGTTCAGTCCTTTCGTCGCTCGTACTTTGCTAAGATGATCCGCTGCAGACACTCTCCTCTCTCGGCTACCACGAGTTCGCATACGAAGCGGTCTTGCGACAGATCGGCGACCTCGCACCGACAGCGTCTATGTCGTGAGTTTGCGCTTCACGAACGCCTTGCTTCCAGGCCTCCTTCGCTTGTTGGCCTCTCGTAGTTTCCGTGCGTTGACTGTTGCTCAACAGGATGCGGGATGCTGCCGGTCCGACCGTGAAGAGCTCGCTCTCGCACACCTTCACTCGGGATACTCGCGATGATCCGTTCGTTGCGACTCGCGGGCACTACCTTCGGCTACGACAGGTACGTGGTGTGTGTGTAATGAGATGGATAGTACCCAGCCCGCTCATATACTTGCCTTCTCGCAGGAGTATGCCGGCCTGGGAGGCGATGCGCAGTTCGTCAAGGCTGAGCAGGAGGGGTCGATCTCGCGCTCGCTCGGTGCTGGCTACGTACGTGCCGTCCTCGACCTCGAACTTTGTCCATGAGCTACGCTGACAAGCACTATTCGCAGTCCGCGTCACTTTCCGCGCGAAGTGGCCTCCTCCTCCCTCTCTCCCGCTCCGGCACCTCCTTCTTCCCCGACCGCTACCACCTCGGCGGGCCCAGCTCAGTCCGCCACTTCCGCCTCAACACGATGGGTCCGAAAGATCTCGGCGACTACCTCGGCGGCGATGCGTTCTACGCAATTGGCGCGAGTCTGTTGACGCCTTTCAAGGTGCCGACGCCTTGGCGGAAGGGTGAGGGCGAGAAGTGGTGGAGCAGCGAGAACTTGAAGGGACACGTCTGGGTCAACGGCGGCAAGTTGGTCGGCACTGGTGCGTTGACTCCTCCGTCTTTCATTGGCGACGAGACTGAGAATGCGAGGCTTCGTCGCAACAGCCCAGCCGTACTCTTCCCTCCTCAACACCGCGCCGTCCCTCACCTGCGGCGTCGGCCTCATGTACCGCCACTCGCTCGTCCGGATCGAGGCGAATGTGGGCGTCCCGCTCGTTCAGACGCAGGGAGAAGGCGGCGTCAAGGGCTTCCAGTTCGGCTTGGGGCTGAGCTTCCTTTAGGGTAGTCGAGTGGAGATTTGATGGCGAAAAGGTGCAGGGGCACCGTCGGAGGGTGAAAACGAAGCAGTTTGTAGACAGAAGGGCGTCTCGCAGATAGACCCGCAACTCCGTTCGCACAATTCTCACGCATGCAGCATCTCACTCGTCTGATTGGCCGTCCCTGCCACCTCTGCCCTCCTGCTGGGCGAGTGTAGTCCGCAGACTTGCTCCTCGCACTGCTTCGCCTCTGCCATTCTCTCGCTGCTGTCGCTCCCGCTCGGACGAGCCGGCTGACTTGCTTGCAGCACGTTCTGCATGCTGAGAACGCTGCTGCGCCCACTCAGCTGCGCCCTCAGCCCGCTCCCGATCCGCACCCTCTTCTCCTCCGCAACCATGTCTGCACCTCTTCCCGCCTTCCAGACTACCGAGTCGCTTTGGCCGCTCGATGAGGCGCCTCAGCAGAGCTCGTCAGACACCAAGAAGCCTCGCAGCCGCCACCGACCGCGTCGGAAACCGGAGAACGCAGCCGACTCTTCCTCATCAGCAGCAGCTTCAGCTCCCGCCAATCTCCCCTTCTCCGGCCCGCATCTCACCGACACATCGTCTTCGCAGCACTCTGCGCCCGGATCGTCGAGTCGAGGATCGGGGCGAGGTCGCGGGCGGGGCGGATTGGCTTCGGGAGGCGGACGAGGAGGAGCAGCGAGGGCGATGAGCACTTCGGCGCGGACAGACAATTGGCGACCGGCAAGTGCAGCGACGAGCAGTACTGAAGACGTAGGCGTACCGGTCTCGCGAGCGCCGTTCGCGCGCACTCCTCGCGGCGGCAAAGCACCTGTCGATACCAACTGGCGACGCAACGCCTCCTCGGGACCTGGCGCTTCCAACCGCTCGTCAAGTAAGGAGCGACCGGCACCCGCCGCCAAGCAGGGCGGAAGGAAGGGGAAGAAGCGGAAGATGACGACGGCGGAGAAGAACTTCATTTTGCTGAACGAGGTGGAAAAGGCGACGGGACCAGGGGCGGATCTCGCCAAAGAGATCATGAAGCTCTACGAGGTGCGTCGCAGCTTAACGTCCGCGCCTCCTTCGCATATGCTCACTCCTCCCGCTCGCAGCTTCAACGGCCGTCGAAGGCTGCGGTCGCAGCGCGGGAGCACCTCATCAAGGAGCTCGAGCATTGGCTCAACGGTGAGCGCTTCAAGTGGGGACACCCTCACAGCCCTTATTCGCACCCGCTTCGCATCGAGCCCTTCGGATCCGCCCGTTTCGGCCTCGGCACCTCGACGTCCGACCTCGACCTATGCTTGCTTGACCCGTACCGGCCCGAAGGCTTCTCAGAAAAGTACTTCTCCTCAAGGAACCCGACTCTGAAGGACTTGCCGGACATTTACAACATGCGGAGGATCGCAAAGTCTCTCGAGCGCGCGAACTTGTCGGACGTGCGAGCCATGTACGTCCTTTGCCTGCCTTCTCACGCAGTTCCCATTGCTGACACCATTCCCTTCGCAGTGCAGGCGCCGCTGTGCCGATCTGCAAGTTCAAGGTTGAGATGGACGGTCACGAGATCGAGGTCGACCTGAACACGAACGAGCGGCTTGGTATGTTCGCGACTTATGCTGAAGAGCCGCGTTTCGCTTGCTCACTGGGGGCCTCCCAGGCGTCTACAACTCCCGCCTGATCAACAGCTACTGCAACTTGCACCCGCTCGTCCGGCCTCTCAGCGTCTTCATCAAGTTCTGGGCCAAGCAACGCGGTCTCAACAATCCTGCCGGCACTCCCACGACCTTCTCTTCCTACACCCTCATCCTCCTCGTCATCTCGTACCTCCAGCACCTCGAGATCCTCCCTTGCCTCCAAGACCCCGACCTCATCGCGCGAGCCGGCACGCCCCCAAAGCTCTTCTTCACCACGCCCAAGACGCACGCGCGAAACGGCCGCCGACGAGGCGAAATCCTCGCTAGTATCGGCTGGAACGTCACTTTCGTCGAGTACGATGCGGCGCCCAAGGAGTATGAGCCGGCGCCGGCCGAACTCCTTGAGCTTGCGAGGGGCTTCTTCCACTACTACGCCGACGAGTTCGACATGGAGAACTACATCGTCAGCGTTTGGCGCGGACAGCCGCTCCCACGGCAGCGGCCCTACAAGCCGGAGGAAGAGCTGGCGGATGACGTACCTGTCGAGGAGCAACAGAACGAGGAGGACTTGGTCCTCGCGGCGTTGAGGGAGGCGGATGAGGCTGAGCCGAAGCTTCAGGCGACTGAGGTCGATGTCGACGGTGACGCTCAGAGCGCTGCTGGCCGACCGCCTCGGCCGGACTCGAGGTCGTCGGAGCCGATGGAGTACGGCGAGTTCGAGGAGCCCGAGCGCTGGGAGCGCAACCTGCTCGTCGTGCAGGATCCGTTCATCCTCAACCGCAACCCTCCTGGCAACGTCCACCCAGACTGGGTCGACGAGTTCCGCTTCGTGCGTTGGCCTTCTCCCGTCCGGTCTCTCTTTTCCGCTGACTCTCTCGCTTCGTAGCAAATGCGCCGCGCTCGTGGCCTCATCGACCAGAAGGCTCCGCTCAAGGAGATCTGCGCGTCGATTGAGTCGGAGGCCCACTACATCCCGCTCGCCATCCGACGACAAGCCGAGCGAACCGCACGAGCCAAGAAGGCGCGGAGGGAGAAGCGGGCGGAGAAGCGGGACCGCGCGCTGCAGAGGAAAGTCGTCGCAGCGGCTGCAGTCGCGGCGTCGGCGCCTGCGCTCGACTCAACCGAGGCTGAAGGTGTTGCTGTCGAGGTGGTCGGCGCGTCGGGAGACGAAGGCTCGTTGGAATCGGAGAATGGCGAGGTGCTGGAGGCGGACAAGCTGTCGCGGGCGAAGGACGAGCCTGAGCGGTCAGACGAGGAGCCGTTCGTCTTCCGCAACCACACGGCCTTCGTTGAGATGGGCGACGGAGCAGAGGCGCGGGAGAAGTAGACTGTACTAGACCGGCAACATTGTTGTTCAGCATCGCTCTTACCGTGCTTTCGCCTCACCCAATCCCAGCTCGACGAGTCCTGCCACAGTCCCTCGTGAGTACTTGGGCTATCCAACGGTTCTGCTGTCACTCCATCGCCGGTAGCAATGCGAGGAGGAAGGGAAAACAGGAAGGTCGAAAATTATGTTGCTCAAGGGCCGAAGACTACCAGCCGTTCCTCAACAGCGTATTGCGCCTGGAGACGGGAATGAAGCGACGGCGGTCAAGAGAGTGCTGTCAGTCGGCAGAAGGGTCAGCGTGAAACGGAAGAAGAGGTTAGTCGTCAATTCTCGCCTGAGCGTGTGCTTGGTGTTCCTGCGTGCATGCCGGACAGTCTTGAACCGGGTGCTCAGGAATGAGCGGCGTCTGTAGGTGACAGGAGGTAAGTGCACGGAAGCCAGCGACAGAAGGAGGAGCGTTACCGTCTGCAAGAGGATGTCCGCCGTTGGCTGTCGAGGCAAAGGTCAGGACACCCGCTATAAGATCTTCTTGAAGAGGAGAATCATCACAAGATAGGCCACAACCTGTGCAGGACTCGCCATCCTGCCATGGTGTTGCAGTCCGAGTGCGACGAATTCCTCAGTGTGCTGCAGGGCGTGCTCGCAGCGGCGGAGGAGGGTCTCCTGCTGTATCCCAGTCATCTGTCGCCATCGAGCGACAGTCTCTGGCTCAGTATCCTTCAGCCACGCGGAACCTTCAGGACGCCCGGCAACCGAAGCCATTTGCTTCAAGACAGCCCGAAGCTGGTCAAGAATGGGCTGCAACGAAGAGCAGGAAGAGAGTCAGCTTGGCGATGCTGTGCTGCTCAACGAGCTCACAGGTCCGCAAAGACAACCCAGTTGCCGACCATACTCGCCGCCGAGACGTTCGGCGTCGGCGTCGCTCCATGATTGTTTGTCGCCCATCACGTGTTCGTATGCCTCGAGGCCGACCTGTGAATGCCGACATGTGAGCACATGTGGACATCGGAAAAGAAGAGGAGACGCACCGCAGCTTTGGCCAAGTTGAGGAAGACGGGTGGCGAGACTGCAGCCATCTTCTTCTCGTCCGCCTCCAGTCGCTCTTCGATAGCTGTGATTTGATTACGCCCTTCTTCCGAGCCACGCATGACTCGCCAGCGTGCCTCGCACAAACGAGGATCCGAAAGGACGCCCTTCCTCCACGACGCAACTTCGCTCCGGCGGCCCGCTCTTCCACCTGGAAACGCAGTCCTGAAGGCATCTGCGAGTTCCACCACGAATTCTCGGTGCAAGAACGGCGTTGAACTGGCTGGCATGCTCACAAAGCAGGCCGAGGCGTAGTAAGAGGCAAGAGAGGAGCCCGGTCAAATTCGAGGTCGACTGTTCGTCCGGCAAGTCCACGGCGCTTCCGTGGACTGTCCGACTTCTTCACGTGGTTTGTGAAGATGGTCAAGCCCGAGCCACAGTAGGGCGTGATAGCGAGAAGAGAGGAGACTCAAGGGAACGAGTCGACGACGGCAAGACGACGGCACCTTTGAGCAACGAGTGTGGGACTTGGAGTGAGCGACGATTGAGCTGGGAAGCCACAAAGCGTCGCAGAACCCCTTCTGCGCTCGCAGGCGAGATCGAGCGTTCGAGAGATGAAGAATCGAGGACGGTGAGGGAGGAAGTGTCGCTCCACGCGGGCGCCGAGCAAGCAAGGGAGCGCTTCTAAATACACCAGCAGAAGCATCGACGCCTTGACCAGCCCAACGAGCGATGCCAGCGGTGCGGTGGACGCGCAAGAGAGCGTCGCGCAACTCTCCCTCGCCCTCAACGCTCTCCTCGCTGAGATGGCCTTTGAATCTGTTCCAGTGACTAAGAGACAGCGCTATGGCATCCTCGACTCGCGCAAACCCGACCTGAACCCGTCTGCGCCCCAGCCACCCGACCTCTGTTTCCTCCCCACCTCGACCTCGTCAGGGTCGCACACACGCCGACAGACAGCATCGAGCGAGCACAAGGCGAAGAGGAAAGCTCGCGCGGCGCCGAGCGGGAACTATCAGGGCTACTACGAGCGCCGGAAGACGGCGCGAGACGAGCCAGACGAGCGACTCGCTCTCATTCCGCAGGACTGGGTCAAGGGGAAGAAGGTGTTGGACGTCGGATGCAACACTGGCGCGGTGTCGGTCGAGCTAGCACAGCGATTCGGGCCCGCGAAGGTTGTCGGCGTTGATATCGACCCTGGCTTGATTCGACAAGCGAAGACGTTCGGTTCGTCAGCCCGCTTTCAACTCGTGAGCAGATACTAACGCAAGTGTCACAGCTGATACGGCGTGGTCGCGACAGGCGCCCCTCGAGCGACTGATCGCCGAAGCGCAAGAGATCCAGCGGCAGCACTCCTCCCGTTCTTCCCAGCCTGCATCACTCTCATCCCTCCTTTCCGACGGCACCGACTCTCCCTTCGTCTCGGCCGACCCTCACTACTTCCCTGTCTCGCTCCCTCGCATGTTCGGCAACCTCCCCCAGCCTCGACAGCTTGTCACGATCATGAACGGCGAGACCGGAGACGCGCAGGCTGGACAGAGGCGAGGGAAACGGAAAGACTTCTCGACGGAGACTCGAGCTTTTCCGGAGAACCTGCAGTTCGTCGCGGCGGACTGGGTGAACGAGACCATGGAGCCAGACAGGGACGGCTACAACGTGATCCTCGCGTGCGCCAGACTTCTCTCCCGCCTGCTAGCTCACGACGGGCCGCTCACGATCGTCCTATACAGCTTCTCGGTCACGAAGTGGATTCACCTCTCCGGCCTCAATCCTGCCCTCCTCACCTTCTTCCGCCGCTGCTTCGATTGCCTCCGGCCCGGCGGCAAGCTCATCCTCGAGCCACAGCCTTTCAGCACATACGCCCGCAACGTCAAGATGACGCCCGAGCTGCAGGAGAACTACGATCGCTTGAAGGAGGGAGCGGAGAAGGGATGGAGGGCGGAAGAGGGCGACTTTGAGAGGGTGCTGCTCGAGCTTGTGGGCTTCGAGAAGCGGGAATTGCTTGGCAAGACTGGCAAAATTGGTGAGCGTGGCTTCGCTCTCTCCGCGCGAAGACCACTGACAGCTGTCACCGCCAGGCTCAACTTTCCGCCGACCTGTCGAGGTGTACACGAAGCGCGGCAGTAGCAGCACGGCAATCTGAGCGCCCGGCTTCTCCCAGAAAGCTCATCCGGCTCCATATCGCCAAGCTGTCTCATGCTCGCCCAGCGCCGTGCTACGGGCGGTCCTCGCAGCCCGCGCCCGTCCTGCTGTTCCGACGAACCATCTCGAGTGAATGGTTGACGTCCGCGCACGAAGTCGTTCGCATGGAACAATTGGCACGAGGTTATTCAGGTGCGTGCTCGATCAGTCGCCGCCAGACGATGAGGCCTGAGCCCGTTCATCGTGCAGCTCCTGGACACCGGCTTGCTAGATCCGATGTCGCCGCCATGTCGCCGTCTGGCCGATCCTGTTCGCTAGCTAGCAGCTAATCACGCGACAGACGCCGCTTTGGCCGTCCCAGCTTCGCATAAAAGCGCCACTGCTCTTCCTTCTCTCTCTCCTCCTCATCCGCGCTTCGTTCTCCGTCTCCCTCGCCCAACCTCTCACATTCCTTCCCACACTCCCTCACACTCAACATGATCTTCTCCCGCCTCTCGCTTGTCACCTTCCTCGGCCTGGCTGCCGCCTCTCTCGCTTCAGACGTCGAGCCGGCTCTCGAATCTCGCACTCTTCACCTCGGACTCGGCGGCGGACTCGACATCGGCGCAGGCGTCGGTATTGGCGCAGGCGTCGGCGTTGGCGCAGGCGTCGGCATCGGCGGCGGCGTTGGACTCGGCGGCGGCGTTGGAGTCGGCCGAGGAGCGGGCGCCCACGGCTCGTCCTCCTCGAAGGGCAAGGGCGGCAAGGACTGCGGCTGCGACTCTAAGTCCCGCTCGAAGAAGAGCAAGGGCCACAAGTCGACTTCGACGAAGAAGAAGGCGCACCACTCGTCCACGCCGGCCAAGAAGGGTCACTCGTCCGGCCACAAGTCGTCGGGCTCGAAGAAGGGACACTCCGCCGCAAGCGCAAAGGCTCAGGCGCACGTCGTCACGACGCTCAAGACCTGCCACAAGGACATCGTGCGCCTCGGCGGCGAGCTCAAGGGCTCCCTTGCGGGCTGCGACCACAAGCAGGCGCATCTCGTTGTCAAGGCTGTCGCTGGCATTATCGGCGTGCGTCTTCCTCACTTGTCTACCTGCTTCCAAGGCTTACCCGTTCCTTCTCGCGCAGGAGATGCACGCTTCGCTGAAGGTCGCTGCGTCCGCCTGCGTCAAGGTTGCAGCCGGTGCCACGGTCGACTTCGAGGTCAAAGTCGGTGCGTACGTTCCATTCACACGGCAACAGCTCTCACTGATGCAGTCTCTGCAGTCGCGCGCGCCGTTGCCGACCTCCTCAACGCCCTTTACGTCGCCCTCAGCCCGCTCGAGGCTATTGTCAAGGTCTCGCCTGGCCTTGTTCTCCTCCTCTCTGTCCACCTCCTCCCTCTCTGCTTCACGTACGCTCGCTCCCCTCCTCCGTCCAGCGGCGTTGCCTGACCCCTCTTCCGCCGCAGCGTTGTCGGCCTCCTCCACGCTCTCTTCGCCATCTCAGGCGGTCTCGTCGCAGCCGTCGCAGGTCTCCTGCACGTCCAGTTCGCGCACCTCTTCAAGCTTCTCGGCTGCGGATCGCTCGTCGTCGCTCTCGAACTCTAGGCGTCCTCTCGCTCGCCTCACAAGCAGACACTCTTTCCTCCCTCACATTCGCTCTCCAGGTATATAAGATGGACACTCTGAATCAGGTCATCCGACTGCAATGCGGTGATAGCACATCGGATTTAACTCGAGGCGGGACGAGGGAGAAGAGGGAGAGAAGCAGGCACGACTAGATAAAGAAAGGACGGCTAAGGAAGAGAGTGGATATGATCTGGAGGCAAGAGCAGCACGCTTAGAGGGTGAGGATGGAGAGGATCGGTCCGAGGCCGAGAGCGCGGAGGACGGGCGCGACGGTGCCGTCGAGAAGGGTGAGGACGACGTCGAGAAGGCCGGCGACGAGGGCGAAGAGGGTGCTGAGGAGGATGGCGAGCCTGTGAAGATGAAAAGTCAGCATCGCTTGCGCCTGGCAGGTAAGCAACCAGGGGACAGCTCACTCATTGTTGAGCGGGAGGAGGAAAGGCGCGAGAAGAGGACCGAGGCCGGGGGTGGCCGAGATGCACTCCTCCACAGGCTTGAGGGCAGCGAGAACGGTGTTGAGGAGCTCGGCGACGAGGGCGGCGGCAGTGTTGAGGTCGACAGAGCGCTTGGTGAGGTTGCGCTTGGCGGCAACCGAGAGCACCTCGTGTGCGGTGTTGTGGATGACGGTCTTGACTTCCTGCAGGCGAGAAAAGAAACGGTGAGCATAGAAGTGAGTTGAACGACCGGGCTGGACGCACGATGAGGAGAGGTCCAACGGCAGCAACGACTGCCTTGGCGTCCTTGACTTCCTTGACGGTCTCGACTGCCTCGACTATCTCGGCGCCAAGCGACTTGACCTTGTCGATACAGCCGTGGAGCGGAGCAAGGATGTCGTCGGTCGAGACGTGTGCGGCGACGTCGACGGAGAGGCGCTTCTCCTTGATCGAAGCCGGCTGGGAAAGGGCCGAGACGGCGACACCGAGTAGTGAGACGATAGCGAGGCGGGAGAAGAGCATGGTTGGCGGAATCAAAAGAGTGTGCGGTGTAACGAGCGTGGGAGTGGCGGTCCGAGGGTGGAGTCGAGGTGAGGAGAAGAAGAAGAAAGAGAAGCGCGCCTGCTTTATAGCTTCGCAGAAGAGGAGACAGATGCTTAGCGTAGATCTCTAGCTCGCCACTTGCCACGAGTCACGCTAAGAAGCTCGGCCAGAAGAGCGGGGAGAGAGGAGCAGAGGGAGAGGAGGCAAAGCGGCGAAGTCGGCGAGGACAGAAGCGGTTCTCCCAGCAGCAGGCCCGTACCAGCTCGCCGACGAAGCACCAGACTGTTCTTGAAGCTGCCAGCACCGTACTGACGCCCTGCACAGGCTGCCTCAGCGTCGCGAGCTTCAAACTGATGAAGTTGACGAGGAGGTGAAGGGGAGGTGAGAGGAGCCTGCGGGAGCTAGCTAGCCAGTGCGACGCGCTCATCGTCGCCTCCAAGTGCAACGGGCAGCGCAACGGGCGTAGCAGAGCCGTGGCAGCGTGCACGCAGCGAATGGGAGAAGTGAAAGAACTCTTGAGCGGGACCGCAACGCTGCTTCACCTCGTTGAGGACGCTTGTACCGCTCGCTAAACTGCCTAAGCATGGAGGACGACCGACCAACGGCTGCGCGCATCGACCAGGAGGAGGCGGAGGAGGACGCGCTCCCAGACTGGTCTCGCTTCGCTGCCTTCGCAAAGTACGTTCTCTCGCCTTTCGATGGCGCCGGTGGGGCTGACAGTGATGCTACAGGGCCAAGGGCGACAAGGGCGAGGGCGGCGTGCTGGTCCCGTTCATTCCGAAGCGCGGCGAGAAGGACTTCGAGCCGCTCCCTGCGTCCGACGCTTTCCCGCCGTCCAGCAAGGAAGCGACCCTGTCTGAGCATCAAAAGAACCTACTGCAGAACTCTCGAAACGCCCTCTATACCGCACTCTCGTCCGGCTCGCGTCACCACTCCTCTCGCGGTCACAATTCCTTCACATGGCGACCAGAACTCGACGGCGGGAGGGCGACCTGCGACGCAGGCAACGCGGCGTACGGCATCCACTTTGGCAACATTGGGTTCTTCCACCAGAAGCGAAGGCAGCTAGAATTGTTGCCAGAAGAGGCGCTTTACATGGTCGAGCGAGGCGCGGTGGAGCTCTGGCGGGAGGAAGAGGTGGGTTCAAGGGTGCCCATGAGCGTACAGCAGGCCTGGGATGAAGTTATCGGTCACGACGAAATGACGCCGGAGCGGTATCAGGTGCGCCTGGTCCTCGCTGCGCTATCCTGCCCAGCTCACGTCCTCTTTCCAGGTCTATGCATTCCTGCGACGACTCGGCTACGTCGTTGTTCGGGCACGCCCTGTGCCTGGAGCAGAGCGACCGAATGCCGTCAAGCCTGCTCCCGCGTACCGGCACTTCATCGACTGCCTCGCCTACTCTATCCTTCCCATCCGCGACCTTGTCCTACGCCTCGTCTCGTGCGCCCGAGCCATGCTTCTACGGTCACCTACGACGGCCAAGCGGATACGGCTGATCGTGACACGCGCCGTGGGTGCGCGAGAAGGCAAGCAGGCGAGCCTGGTTGCTGGCCGGCGGTGGACGACCTATGGTGCGCGACTGGTCCTTCTGGTTCCTCAGAAGCCCCTCTGACCTCTGGTGCACGTATCGCAGACCAGATCTTCTCTCGCCTCGCGATCATCCCGAGCGGCCACGATCGACCACTCTCTCGCGGCCCTCTGCCTCATACTCCCTCCGTCTTCACGCCTCTCTCGCCAGTGCCCGACAACTGCAAGCCCAAGGACCTTCCTCCGCTCGAACAGTACCCTTACCAGCCGTTCTTCCACATCTACAAGCCCGTGACGAAGTACAAGAAGAGCGACCCGCCCGAGCCAGATTTCAAGATGGTCGTGATCAAGTGCGTTGTCACCAGCTGCGTTCCAGTCCTCCTTGCTCACATTCATTGTCCACAGCGCCGCGACAACGCCCATGCCCGACCTATTCGAGTTCACCGCCATGTTTGGTTCTGCACCCTTCCCTCCCGAACCTTCGGCCGCACCCGGATCCAGCGCAGGCCCTTCCGCGTTCGGCCAGCGCCCTCCTCGTAAGAACGCGCCTCCGCGTCGCGAGCATCCTACCCCGCCTCCTGAACCTCAAACTCGCGTCCAACGGATCCTCTCCTCCATCCCGTTCGTTCCCCGCCTCTTCCCCTCCCTCGCTCCTCCCGCCACTCAGCCTGCTCGCCGCGGTCCGAAGAAACCCTCTCCCTACCCACGGCTGAAGACCGGCCGCCGAACGATCCTCGTCGCAGTCGTCGACAACGGCACGAGCAGCTTGCTTCGGTTCTCGGAGGGAGAGTTTGCCAAGATTCCCTGGGCCGGAGCGGCGAGGAGTATGTAGGGCTGCGCGAGGCACGCGTTGTAATGCATATGCAGATCAAGGTGGAGAGGAAGGAAGGCAAAAGGAGAGAGCAGGCATCACAACAATGCTTGGCCGAGAGAAGCTCGAGTGTCACCGAGATACAGGCGCGAAGGCTTTATAAACTAGGAAGGGAATCTACTGCAAACGAAAGCGTGGCTTCTCGGGCGTGCTGGGCGTGAGCGTCACTTGCGGGACAGTCCGCAGTTGGCGAGTTCTCGGGTCGACAAAGCTGCGCTGCTTCGTGATGACCTTGGCTCGTCGTTGTGCAGGAGAGGCGGCGGGTATGGACGGAGGTGGCGGGGCGTGAAAGTCGAGTGCGAATGGGTCGAATGGCGGGAATGCGGAAGAAGGGGAATCGAAGACATCGTCGGTGGTATCGTATGGACGTCGGTTGATGCGTGAGGGCGTAAATGTGGGTGAGGTCGGGGAAGACGCCATCCAGGCGACGGACGAAGGGGCCGATGCACTGAAGGGATCGTCGTCGCTTTCGTCGCTGCTGAAAGAGCTCGACGGTGCGCGCTGCTCAAGCAGCAACTCCTGTACCTCCATCGCCTCAGTCTCCTCGTCGTCGTCATCGCTATCTTCGACTGCCCGTCCTGACTTGAGCGACGGATCGAACAGCGGCGAGAGCGGCTCAGCAGACGGGTCCGCGACAGAATCGTGCTTGATGAGTAGATCTCGCAGCATTGCTGCTGCGCTTTGCACGTTCGAGTCGCTTGTCGGCGCAAAGGCGGAGAAGGGGTTGCGGAGAGTTGCGGACGAGGCGGGCTTGCGAAGCGAGGAGGCGAGGCGAGAGCGGAAAGAGGGCGGCGGGGAGAGCTCAGGTTCTGGTGAAGTCGGAGGAAACGTCGGTGCCCAAAAGGCATCGATGGTTGGCGAGGGGAATCCGGGCGAGGCGGATGCGTGCGGAGATTGGGGCGGCAGTTCGACCGGGACTTGCATGAGGCTTGTGCTCGAGGCAACTCTGCGCAAGACGCGGGGCGCCTTCAGCGTCGCAGCCGATGCTGCCGCGCGCAGATGTGGCGACGGACTGGTCGTTGAGGGCGAGTACGGGAGGCTCGGAAGGGCATCAAGCTCCTCTTGGGAGTAACCCGTCACCTTGGACCGCACATCACCCTCGCTGACCTCGGTCGCCGTCGTCTCGAAAGTGGCGCTTGACGATGCAGGCGAGTCGAGCCAAGCGTCGCTCCGCGCGGACGACGTAGAAGACCTTGAGGACTCGGTTTCTTCCGCTTCCCGTCTCCGCCTCAACGCATCTTTGACCATCCTCGACACCTCTTCCGCAGTCGGCGTAGGTGGCATCGGCTCTTTCGCCTGTCCGTACCACCGCGACCAGCTGAAGAAGCCCTCATCCGCCGTCGATCCCGTGTCCGACGATCCAAGACGGGGAGAGAGGTTGAAGACGGATCGTGCTTTGCGGAGGGTCGTGCCGGCTGGTGACGATGACATGAGGGGTAGGAAGCTGGCGAGGGTGCTGCAAGGGTCGAAAGTCAGCGCTGCACGCGAGAGTAGGGTGCGAGGAGCGACGTACGGGGACCAGGGCGAGTCGTGCGACTTGACCTCGTCCGTCTGAGCGGGCTGTAGCGGGTCGAGGCACATTGTAGGCTTCGTCAGCTCATCATTCGAGCGCCCATCCCCTCTCGAGGGGACTGAGCCAAGGACGCACCTTTGCATTCACCGCGTCCTCCCGGCCCGCATGCGCACTTTCATGCCTCGATTGGGTCGCAAACTCATCTGTTCCCCAGAGTGAGCTGACCATGCGCTTTGTACGCCCGCTGGAGTGGTCGACGGAGCGTGTGCCGGAATTTGTTGAGGGAGATCAGGAGGACGAGTCGGGATCCCCGAACAGCGAGGGCGGCGGGTAGACAGAGGCACGGCCGTGCTGCACTCAATGAAGCGGCGCAATCAGCCTCGCACGCAGCCAAAACCAGAGTGAATGAGTGACGGGATGAGGACGAAGGCGAGGTCTCCTCGACACCATCAACTTCTCTCGCTCGTGCTGTTTGAGCTGCTTGCCAGGATGGCCCTGTCCTCAAAGGAAGATATCCGCCGCCAGCTCAACCTGAAGAACCTCCAGCGGCACGACCCAGCGATTGACCGCATCGTCAGTTCAGCGAGTTATGCCAGCGTCTACGACAACAAGGGCGACGGCTGGGTGCGTCCAGTCTCCCTCATCTGCGTTGCTTACTCGCCTGGCCAAGTGTGCGGGCCCGCCGAGCTGACCTTGTCGCTGTCTTGTCCTCCTCCTCGATCAGGTCAAGACGGGAGTCGAAGGACCCATGTTCCTCTTTGCGCGGTGTGTTGTGCCCTGCACAGTGCTGTCTGGTCTTGGCAGAAGCGAACACCGGTGCAGCATCGTCGTCGGTGACTGACGCAATCTCCTCGTCCAGCTCGACCTCTCCGCACTACGGCTTCTTCATCTTGAACCGCAACGGCCTCGAATACGTTCAGGAGTTCTTGACGCCAGAATCCGAGGTGCAGGTCGGAGGAGAGTTCATCCTGTATGAGGGAGGCCAGGATGCAGGTGCGTTCGTCCCGTTCGCCGCAAAGACTCGCTCGTCCTTTCCCCGCTCGACCGGCGTCTCTGTATCCCTGAGTCAAGGACCAAGCTGACGTATGTTGCTCGCTGCAGACCGAGCTACCGGAATCTGGGTGTTCGAGGAGAAGGAGCGAGTCGAGCTGTGCAAGCAGATGGAGGAGTGAGCACGCATGCGCCTGGCATCTTCCCCACTGGATGTACGCTGACACAGATTGCCGTAGGCTGAGATCTCGCGCCGCTGCCATCGCCTCAGCGTCCGCGCAAAGCCCGCCTTCAACTAGCGCGCTTCCCGCCTCTTCCCCTCTTCCCGTCGGCCAGTCAATCTCCCTCGACATGCTCTTCCAAGCGGCATCACCTACACCTGTAGCGCCTTTGCTTCCCCAGCAGACCGCCCAACAGCAGGCCTCAAACCCGCTCGACGCCCTCTTCGCCTCCGCCAGCATCTCTCCTTCTCCTGCCCGAGCGGTTCTCCCTCCTTCTCAGCCGCAGCCTGTTCCGCCTTCCGCGTCAAAGCTTCCTTCAACGCTTGAGCAGCTCTTTGCGGCTGCATCGCCAACTCCTCAAGCAGCTCGTCTGCCAGCGCAGATGCCGCCTCAATCGCCTCCGCAGCAGCCTGCAGGCGGGATGGCGTTGCTCGACTCGATCTTTGCGTCGGCGAAGAGCGTGAGTTGCAGCGCAAATCATCGCTCCCGTCCTTGTTGACTGAACTTGTGCTACAGGTCCCATCACCTCAGCAAGCTCCGGCATACCTCCCTCACCCCGTTCCTTCTCCACAAATCGCGCATCCCACCCAGCCCTCGACGCAGTCCTCTCTCCCTTACTCTCCCGCGCCTTCCGCCGCCCAACCTCCCGCTCCTCCCGCGCCAGCTTCGCAACCCAACGACGCCCGCGCCCTCCTCGCCATGCTCGGCCACCCCCTCTCTCCTCCCGCCCCGCCCAGTCAACCTGTCCAAGCATACCCGCTCGTGAACGGCGACATCTCGCTCGCCGGCTCGTCGACGGCAGCAAAGTCACCTCCTGCGCCTCACAGCGCGACCTACCCTCAGCCGTTCGCGATGGACCAGCAGCCTTCGACCACGTTGTCAAAGTCGCCGTCAGCGCAGCGTGACGAGCCGAAGAAGGAGGAGAAGCAGTCACAGGGGCAAGGGCAGAAGCAGCCGATGTTTGCGCCGCCCGTGTTGAGCCACGATATTTTTGCGAGCTTGCCGCTGCCGGGTGGCGCGGCCAAGAAGAAGACGGAAGTGGCGAAGGACGCGGAGATGCCGGTGCAGGTCGAAACTGCGAAGGTGCCGGCGAAGGAGGAGCAGGACGTCCGGCCGAATGGCGACGAACTGGCGCCCGAGCCACAGCGAGATGTCGAAGGTGCCGCCGCTGAGCCTGCGAAGACGATTCCGTCTCCGCCTGCCGCGCCCGTGACTGTCAAGTTGCCCATCTTGCCGCCTCAACTCGCTCGCCAGTCATCCTCGCAGCAGCCCCTCCTCCTCGACAAGTCCGACATCACCTCGTTTGTCAACGGAGCGGCGACAAACGCAGCGGTGGGAATGGCCGACGGAGCTGGACCGATCGAGAAGGACGAGTTCATCAAGAGGGTGGTCGAATTGATCCAGGCGAGTCGCGCTCGCCCTCTCCAAGACTCGTCGCTCGGGCTGACGAAGTTGACTGCGTTGACAGAAACCGAGCCTGTCGATGCAGCTGTACGGGAAGTACCTCGAGCGGTACGAGGAGCAGCACGAGTAGGGAGGAAATGCGAAGGGAGGACGGTGTGCTGGAGGTCCGTTCGCTCTCGCTTCTTCGCACCGCCTCGCACAAAAGTACTCACTCTGGTGCTTCCGTGTCGACAGGAGTCCGCTTGCAACACTTATCCGGTTCGAGTGAGATGGGCGGTTCGCGAGGAGGGGAAGTCGGTCGTGAGAGACGCACTGCTTCGCAGGACTCGTTCGGCGGCTTCCGCTAGCGTGAGAAAGCGCTCTGACGTGGCTCGAACGCTTCTCTGACCCGTACGAAGTGACTCTGCCCTCGGACCCCTCACCCTCCTCTCTTGTCCTCCTCCCGCTCACTTCGCTCGCTCGCTTCGTCCACGCACGACGTGCACGACGCGATGAAGCGACCAGACGGCCCGCCACAGCGGGCAGACGGCCCACTCGCGCCTCTCATTGCCCGCCTCGCGCCGCTCGTCGCCACCGCCAAGTCGAAAGAGGGCAAGGCCACCACGCTCCCTCCGCTCGACGAACCGCTTGCGAAGTTCCACGAATGGCTCATCAAGCTTCAGGAGGCAGTGCGTCACGCGATCGTGGTCCACGGAGCTGCGCGGAGACGGGGCGACGGATGCTGACTTGCTCTTTCCCTCTCGCACGCAGGACTCGCTCTCGCCGGAGCTCGCGAAGGATGCGTCGGTGTTCCTCAGCTACCAGTGCTTCGCATACACCGTCTCGTCCGCCACGGTTGCGGCTGCTGTCGATGGCAAGGAGGACGAGGCGGGCTTCCTCAAGAACAAGGCAGTCGCGATGCTCGAGGTCGCGAGGGACCTCATCGAGTGCCTTGCCAGCACGGTGCTCGAGTCGCCAGGCGGCCTGCCGACGCGGGCGGGCGCGGAGGGGGACAAGGACAAGAAGGTCTACGGCGACCTGCTTCTCGCTCTGCTTGACGGTCTTTGCGTAAGTTCCGTGAGGGGTCTACTAAGTCGACGGCTACTGACGTACTCCGCTCTTCTCTTGCAGGACCACCTCGACCCGCACAACGCCTACCAGAAGCAACCTGCGCCGGAAGACCTCGCCTGTTAGTCCGCTCCTTCGGGAAGGCTGTGCACACACGCTCGTTGACCACCTTTGAATGTTAGACCGTGGCCTCTTTGGCGAGATCCTTCTCCCCTCTCTCTACAAGCTCGTCTTTCCCGACCCCGCCGGTTTGCCCTCAGCCTCCGGTCGCGCAATCAGCGACGGAGCCAAGGGCGGCAAGATTCGCGCCGAGATCAAGTACGCCAGCTTCGCGATTGTCTCCGAGTCCACGTCGAAGCACCCTGCCAACAAGGAACGCATTCGTCGCATCTTCCCGCCGTGAGTCTTCTTCGCCTCGCCCGATGTAATACGGTCTGACGCCTCGCACGTCTTGTCTCACCCAGCGACCACATTGCATCGATTCTCCAAGGCGGTTACGACGCGCACCTGTCGACGGCTGCGTTTGAATGCGCTTTCTGCATGGCTCCGTCTCGTCGTTCGCCCGCCGAGCGCGCCGACTTCATCAAGCAGCTTTTCGCTGAGTCTCGCTTCGGCAAAAGTGCGCAAGAGCTGCGCGCTAGCTTCGACCGCATCAACGGCAACGACTTGTACGACAAATCGCCAATGATGCTCAGCCGTATCTCTAACGGCAGCATCAAACGGCAAGTCCTTCTTCGCTCGCCGTGTCATGGCGAGTGTCTCTGACGAGCGTTGCTGCCGCAGTTCGCAACCGTTTCGCGCGTTTTCTCTCAAGTACAACGGACGTCCCCTCCTCACCTCGAAGCGGGAGGAGTCGTCGCACAACGTCCTTCCTGCGAACGAGCCGTCGCTCAAAGCGATTGCGGACTGCAAGGCGTACGACCCCGCGATAGTCTGGTTCTCCACCGACATCCTCGCGGCAGCTGTCCCCGAACCGCCCGAAATCGTCAAGATGCGTCGCGCTGGCGACCCGCGGCCGGACCGCGAGAAGGCAGTCCAGCTTGATGACTCTTCGGAGAGTTTCGTTCGCATGGTTATCGATCTTGGGGCAGTCGAGCGCGTGCATGTCCAAGACCTCGGCAAGGACCCGAGTGAGTGGTCTACCGGCGCTTCGCTCCCTTCGCAGGCTGACTCTCTCAAACAGACGTCGCCAAGATCACGATCCTCATATCCGCCGGCTCGCCCGCCCGCTTCGGCAACCTTCCGCATCCCAGCCTCGCACTTCACGTCGGCACCTCGCTCAAGTCGCTCGACGAGTCGCAGGTCGGCAGCAGGTCTGAATCGATGCACAAGCTCGAGATGATCTTCCCGGCCGGCAACGACAACCTCAACATCCTGAAGAAAACGCTTGTCGCGCGCAAAGAGGTGAGCAGCACTCCTCGCTCTCCCGGTCGAGCGATACTGACGCCTCTCTCGTTTCGCGCACTAGCGATACCCCAAGCTCGGCGATGAGCTGCACCGCTTTCCCATCCGCGTCGGCGTCTCGCCGCCCAACAAGGCGCCAGAGAAGCCGTCGAACGCGAAGTCCGCCGCGAAGCCTGCCTCGAAGCCCGCCGCGAAGCCTGCCTCGAAGGCTGAGGAGACGACTAAGAACGTCGCTTTCGCCCCTACGCCGTCGCCCTCGATCGCGGCAACGGCTTGCGCGCCTGCCGTCAAGCGCGCACCGCGCAAGTCGAGCGAGGCGGGTCCGGTCGTCGCTCAGCCCGCTAAGCTTGTCGCGAACGGTGCGGCGCAACAAGTCGAGCCTGAGCAGCGCGGCGAGGCAGCGGCGAAAGGCGAAGCCAAGCTCGAAAAGGTCCGCGAGGAGGACGTCAACCACCTCGCTGCAAGTCAGGAGGCAGCTCGTCGTCGTGCTGCTGAAGTAGCCGGTCTCGCCGAGCTCGACAAGGCCAGCTCGGTTGCCACGTCGCAGAAGACCAGGTCGACGGACAGCGAGATGCGCGGTGTCGAAGAGAATGCTCTCGCCGGACAAGAGTTTGGGGGAGGCTTCGAAGAGGGCGAGCAGGCCAAGATGGACGTCGATGGAGCGCCGGCAGGCGAAGGCGACGAAGGTCGTCGCGAGGAGGACACCGTCAAGCACAAGACGCCCGCCAATACTCGTCGCCTCGAGGGTGACGTAGGTCGTGCGCCCGGCCGTCGTCGCAAGGAGGCGCAGCCGTCCGAGGATGAGGGCCAAGACGACGTGACGCCGTCCCAGCAGCGCCAGACCGCGAAGTCGGGCGACTTGGCTTCGTCGGACCTCTCCGAACCGGCGACCGAGGCAGCTGATGTCGACGAGGTCGAGCAGCCGGTCAAGAAGAAGAAGGTCGTTCAGCCGGCCAAGAAGGGTCGCGGTGGCGCAGGAAACGACGGCGACAAAAAGGCGAAGAAGGCGAAGGCCGAGACTGACACGCAGAGTCTCGCTTCGGGTCGTCCTCGTCGTGCGGCAGCATCGAAGGCTGTCGCGAACCTTCGCGGTCAGAAGCGCGCTTCGACGCCGCTTGAGGAGGAGGAGGAAGAGGAAGAGGACGAGGACGGTGAGGACGAGCACGAAGTCGAGCCGGAGAAGCCCGCCGTCAAGAAGGGTAAGAAGGTCAAGAAGGCCTCGCCTCCGCCAGCGAAACGCCGCAAAACCTCGCCGACTCCTTCGGATACTGCGGAGGAGAGCGGCGAAGAGACAGACTACGACGACTTCCCCGGAGGCGACGTCGCCAGCACGCTCGAGGAGAAGAAGGTGACTGTCCGCCCCGCGCACAAGTACGGCAAAGAGGTCAACTCTATCGTCCGGTCGATGGGCGGGAAGCGCAAGGCCGGCAAGCCTGTCGCCAAGGCCAAAGCTGCGCCGCCAAAGGCGAAGAAGCGCAAGGAGCAGGAGACGGCTACCGAAGAGGAGGCCTCCAAAGCTAGCGAGCGCGAACGCTCGACTTCGCCGATCCTCAAGCCGAACCATCATGGACCGAAGAAGCACGTCGTCGAGCAAGGTGGCACCGACCTTGAGGACGAGAGGCGAGTCCTCGCTTCCGCCTTAAGCTCCCTCAAGCTAACTCGTCATAGCATCCGCAGGAACGCCGAACCTGTGCGCCCCGCCAAGCAGGACAAGCGCATCGCCGACGACATCCCACCTCCTCGCGACCTCACCCAGGGCGAGCTCGAGCGGGCCAAAGAGCTCGACCCTCGTGCGAGGCGCGCGTCTCGTGCGCCTGAGGAGAAGTCGCCGGCCAAGCCGATTCGCTCTTTCTCTGCGTGCGTTCCGCTTCGGCCCCCTGGGAAAGTCAGCATCGCTCACTCTCCAATGCGCGACAGTCTCGTCGGCCGCGAAGATGGCGCTTCTGGACACCAGCGCCTGGGCGAGCACATCATCGAGGGCGTCGGCAGGCTGACGGCGGAATCCGAGGATGAGGCGGAAGAAGAGAACGTCTTTGAGGCTGGACCGTTCCCCGACGAGCTCGACGACTTCTCGGCAATCGCTACGGGAAAGCAAGTCCAGGCTGCCACCGACACCGTCCGTCGGCAGGTTCGCTCGTCGCCGTCGCCCTTCATCGATCCGGCTCGCGAACAGACCTTCGTCGAGCGCGCCGTCGCCGAAGCGTCGACCAGCGGCGGTCAGCTCGTTGTCGCCGCCGCAGCTCAAGCCGTCGTCGTTGCGCAGAAGCGCCCGTCGCCCGCGCCGGCGACTGCTCGACAAGCCGAGAAGGACGCTAACCTGTCGCCGACCGCTGCCGACGACTCGGGCGTGCACTTCCAGCTTCCTCTGGACCTTGGCGACGAGGCTGCAGAGGAGGAGATGGTCGCCAAAACTCACTCGGTCGTCCAGCAAAGTGCGTTCGGGAGATCCTCTCCTTTCTGTCGCAGAACTGACGCTTTCTGTCGTTTGCAGTCGTCGCTCCCAATCACGAGCTTTCCGGCGCAAAGCTTCCCACGCAATCAGCGACCGCCTCGAATCGCCGCGACGTCCAGGCCATGCTCGTCGAGAAGCCGTCGCAAGCTCGCGCCCCGCTTAGCACGATGCATCCGTTCGCGCCAGCAGCGGACGTCAGGCGCCATCGCTCGCTCTCGCCTGGAACTGTGGGTGCGCATGCGACACCAGCCGTTCCTCCCAAGGCGACAGCGAGTGCGAACTGGAACATCGCAGCTGCGGCCATCCAGCAGGCCCACATTCCCTCGCCAGCCTTACCCTTCACCGACCAACGCGCGCGGCCTGCTCGTCCCGGTCCCTCAATGATGCAGGTGCCGAGCAAACAAGCCGGCGACCCGTTCTCCGAGCGCGAGGAGCAGGCGACTACCTCGGCTGCTGCGCAACCCGCAAAGGCGTCGACGAGTCGTCCTCAGCAGCATCATGTCGGAACTGCCTCGCCATGGGGAGGCTTGGGTCGCCCTATCGGTCGCGACGAGGGCCTCGTCGGCGGGACGGCCTCGACGAGCTCGAAGAAGCCTGTCTCTGCGCCGCCAGCCTTCACGAGTGTTTCTGGAGGCGCGTCGACGTTGAGGAAGGCCCCGAAGCCGAAGCAGCACGTCAAGGGTCGTCTGGGCTCCAACGGCGTCTTCGGACAGCAGCAGCGTCGCGCGAAGAACGGCAAGGCTCGCGAGAAGGCGCCTCTCCTCCCGCCCATCTCGCCGTCGCTAAGCTCCGAGGTTGACTTTGGCGCCGAGGTGAAGAGCGACTGGCAGGGAGGCGAGTACGAGATGGACGCCTTTTTGACCAAGTTCTTCCGAGACGTGCGTCCGACTCGTTCATATCGTTCATTCCTTGTCTCTGATCCCCTCGTGACGTGCAGGCAATTGTCGAGAAGCAGGCCGAGCAGCGCCGTCAGCGAGAAGCTCACCATCAGCTTTCGCGCCAACGCCTCATGGGCAAGCTGGGCGCCTACGTCGACAAGGCTCGCAAGGACGCGCACGTCCTCCCTTACGCTCTTCGTCGTTCCTTCAGACTGACACCTCCTCCGTCCGCAGCATCGTCATCGCGGACAACATGCAGGCTCGCCTCGATGCCGCCGACCAGCCCGACAGCCTCGCCTCGAACCTCCGCAGGTACGCCAAGCACGCGTACGAGGTCAATATGGACATCTGGGAGGAGGCGCAGCGCGAGCTTGAGAAGATTGCGGCGAAGGAGCAGGCTGAGGCGGAGGCGGAGGCGAAGAAGGGGAAGTGAGCGGGAGAAGCGGGTAGGAGGAGATGTCGCTTGTTTGTCTCGCTTGTTCAAGAGTGTGCGCTTGTTGCGAATGTCACCCATTCTACGCTTTCAGCTATCCGCAGAGCTGCGAGACGCGAAGGCAAAGAGGTGGTGCGAGGTTGCAAAACGATGGAGACGATGCGGAGAGATATAGCGCACAACGACAAACGAGGGAAACACAGACAGAGAGTCAAAGGGAAAAGCGAGGTGCGGGGGTGCGACAAAGCGAAGAGAGAGGGCGTAGAAAGAAATGCAGAAGCGTCCATCACGCATACAGGTCGTCCTCCTCGTCCTGCTCGCCGCCAGCTGCGAAAGCTTGGGCGGCGGCCTCGGCCTCGGCGGCGGCGGCGGCGGCGCTCGAAGCGCGAGTCGCGCGACGTGGCGTTTCGCTCGAATTCCTGGTCCCGCGACCACGGCCTCGAGCAGCTCCGCCGAAACCCCCGAATCCACCACCGCGGCGGCGGTCGCCACCAACCTGAGCCTGAGCAGCAGCTTGAGCCTGAGCTGCGGAGGCGGCAGCGGCGCCTGCGCGACGTTTCGGGTCGCCAGCCGAGCCATCCGAGTCGGACGAGTCGTCGGACGAGGAGGGCGAGACGGACGGACTGTAGTCGTCGCGCCAGATCGGGCCGAGAGGAGGGCGAGCGGGGAGAGGAGCGTTCAGGTTATCCAGATCAGTCGACTGTGGATCGGGACACAGGTCAGTATGGCTCGCGGAAGTCAGCAAAGCTTGACTCACAGCGCGCGAGCGACGAGTTGCGTGCTCCAGGTCGCGCATCTTGTTGGCAATGTCCGTGATGCGAAGGTCGTGAACCTTCTGAGTTTTGCGAACCTTGCGGATGATCTTGCGGTTCTTGCCGACATCCTTGCGGGTCTTGCGCATCTCGTCGAGGAGGGTGTCGATCCCGCGCGCCAACACCTTGGCGACTTGAGAGCCGCTGGCAGCTGTAAGAGTGCACTGTGAGACTCGAGATGCCCACGGGCATGTGCTGGCGGGAACGCACCGACTTGCTCCTCGTAGGTCGTGCCTCCCTCCGCCGCGCCCGCAGCCTCTCCCGCCTCTGCGTCAAGGACGTTCTTGTCCTTGGCGAAGACGGCCTTCTGAACGAGTTCGCCCTCGTAGGTCTTGACGGCAGCATAGTTGGTCATGAATTCGTCGTTGACTGCCAAACAAAGGGACGGGTTGAGTGAGCGGTGCGAGGACGAAGAACGACCGAGGGCGCTCCCGCACTTACGTGGTCCGGCAACGAGTGATTCTTGGTCGAAGTGAGCGGACAAGCGAGCCGCTCGAGCAATGTCCTGGGGCGTCGGCGGGTCGCTGGCGTCGGGGAGGGCATGAGCGAGCGAGGTGAGTTTGGCGACGCGGGAGGGGCGGTCGTCGTCGGGGACCAGCAGGGCGTTCGTGAGGTCGCCGAGCTGAAGGCGCTGAGCAGGCATCTCGATTCCCAGCAGCAAGTCTGAGCGACAGCAGTGAGTGCGAGGAGGACAAGGAAGGGTTGAACCACGACTCGCCCGTCTGCTCTCGCCAGGATGGCTCTGGTCGACTACGGCTCGGACTCTGAGGGTGAACAGGCTCAGCAGCACCCGCACAAGCAACTCCCGACCGTGCAGGACGACGCGACCGCCGACATCGACGACGGCGAGGACGACTTCAACCCGCAGGACGCATTCGGGCTTGCGCGCATCTCTGAGGCGGAGAAACAGGCTGCTGGAGGCGCAGGCCAGGCGCAGGCGGGCCCGGCGGCTGCTGGGACGAGCAAGTCGAGCGCTCCGGAGGTCATCAGTGCGGTGAGTTACAGTCCTTGCGTGGGCTTGTTGGGGCGTGCTGCGTGCTTCGAGGGCTCTGTCAGAGTCCTTACATTGCGCTAGACCCAGACTATACGCTACTCGCGAGCTGACGCCGTCCTCCTCCCACAGCACCTCCCGACAAGCAACACCCTCGTCACTCGCCCGACAGACAACGTGATCTATTACAACGCCTCGTACACCGATTTGACTCGACCAGTGCAGGGCCCGGCGAACCCCTGGAACGACGGGCGGCTGGAGAAGCAGAACGTCTTGACGGGTGCATTGCGACTTAACTGCGCTCGTGCTGGGCATGCGAGTCGGCCAGGCGCCGACGAGCTCTCCTAGCTCGCAAAGGATGTCGTAGGCACGGCTGACACATTCCGTCCTCGCAGGCCACGTCGAGCAGCAGCATTTCTCCGACCTCACCTTCAACGAGCAGCAACGATCGTTCCACGTCCTCGGCTACGCCGCAAACCCTTCTCTCGCGACCGACGGCGGCTACGTCGGCGACGTCCGCAAGGCGTACGAGCAGGGCGGAACCTTGATCAGCGACGTTCGACCTTCGCGATCGCAGGTTAAGGCGACTCGGCGGAAGCGGAAGGCCAAGGGTCGGTTGGGCGAGTTTGACGACCCTGATGCGGAGGAAGAACAGGAGGAAGAGGAGGTTGACGAGGTTGGAGCGGACGGCGAGGTGAGGCAGGTCAAGCGCAAGAAGGAGAAGCCGCAGCGGGAGTACCTCGGTCCGTGGGCTGGATGGGAGGGCGAAAAGATCGAAGTTGTTGCGCCGACGGAGGAGGAGTACGAGGAGCAGGAGGCGGCGGGTGGGCCGTTGCTCAACAAGCAGGAGAGGCGAAAGAAGCTGCTCGAGGACGCGGGGCGGAAGGAGGTCGGCTTTGGCGAGGAGAAGAGTGTCTTCCACGGTGCGTGCCCAGCTCTCCTGCCTCTACTTGCTCGATATGACGGCATCGCGGTCGCAGGCAAGGAAACGCGCGACTACCTCGGCCGCACCTACCTGCACGTCCCGAACGATCTCGACGGCGTCAACCTGCGCGGCGAACCTGGCTCACAAGAGTCGTTCGCTCCGAAGCGGTGCATCCACACCTGGAGCGGACACACGAAGGGTGTCAGCCGGATCCAGCTCTTCCCCGGAAGTGGTCACCTCATCCTGTCCGGCAGTCTCGATACGAGGATCAAGGTGCGCTCAAGCTTCTGCGCCGCTCTCGCTCGTCGCGCATCTCGAGTGCTGACTGATACCGTACGATCTTGCCGCGCAGCTTTGGGACGTCTACCGGGAGGGCAAGTGCTTGCGGACGTTCATGGGCCACTCGAAAGCGGTTCACGACGTTACGTTCGACAACAACGGCGCGCAGTTCATGTCCGCCGCGTTTGACCGGCAGATGAAGCTGTGGGACACTGAGACTGGTGCGTTGCTCTCGCTTTCTCCGTCCGCACCGGAGCTGACGAAGCTGTTTGTTTCGCAGGTCAATGCAAGCAGGCGTTCTCGAACGGCCAGATCCCGTACTGCATCCGGTTCCACCCGGAGCAGCAGTCGACCTTCCTTGCCGGCATGTCGAACAAGAAGATTGTCCAGGTGCATTTGCTATCCTCTCACAATCGTCATGCCTCGCCTTCCTAGTTTTCATCGCCGCTGACGACGATGGCGTCCTTTGCAGTACGACATCCGCTCGGGCGAGATCACGCAGGAGTACGACCGACACTTGGGACCGGTCAACACCATCACGTTCGTCGACGAGAACCGCCGGTTCATCACGACGTCGGACGACAAGAAGATGTGTGTCTGGGACTTTGACATCCCCGTCCCCATCAAGCTCATCCAGGACCCGAGTATGCACTCGATGCCTGCGACTGGCTTGTCTCCCGATGGTGCGTTCGACGCTTCCTCGGATGTCAGCTTGGCAGCCTCGCGAAGGCTCGCGCTAAATTCGGGCCGCTGTCGCTGTCACAGGCAAGTGGCTCGCCGCGACCTCGCTCGACAATCAGGTCGTCATCTTCGCCGCCGACACTTTCAAGCAGAACGTGCGTTGCCCGCGCTGACTCCCGTCTATAGACGCGCGTCGCTCACTCGTCGTTCTACATCCCACAGCGCAAGAAACACTTCGGCGGCTACGAAGTGTCCGGCTACGCCTGCGAGCCGCGCTTCTCTCCCGACGGCCGCTTCCTCTCGTCCGGCGACGGCCAGGGCAACATGGTCTTCTGGGACTGGAAGACGGGTCGCATCGCCTCGAGGCTGCACCGCGCGCACAAGCAGGTCATCATTAGTCATGCTTGGTTGCCGCACGAGACGGTGAGTTGGCGCGCCCTTCGTCGCGTCGCAGGCGGATCTCGCTTGGTCTTCTGATGCGGCTGACTTCTTGAGCCCGTTGACTAACTCGGTCCTTCGCGCTCGCAGTCCAAGGTTGTCACGTCGTCGTGGGATGGGCTCATCAAGCTGTGGGACTGAGCTGTCTGTACCGCAGCGACATCGTCGCAATGCAAGTTGACCTATTGTATCCGTCCCGCATCGCGAAAAGAACCAGCCCGGCGCCATCTCTCGACCTTGCGACCTCCGGTCGCCCTTCTCCTATACCAGCTCGCTTGCCGGCCTCTTCTGTACTCTCTCGCCTGCTCCACAACGACAGACAATTACGGACTGCACAGATAGATACCCAGGAGCTCCCTACCAAGACTACCGCTTCTCCTCGCCCGTCCCAATCGTCTCGCCCCTCTTCGCCGCCTCCTGATCCTCCTCCGTGATCTGTGTCTGCGCCAAGACCCTCTTCTTCAGCCACCCAGGCAAATGCGGGTACTCCATCAACCACCACAAGATGAGGACGATCACAAAGTCGGCGCTGCAGAATGCGAGCGAGATCTTCGCTGAGGTCTCGTAACGGGGCCCGAAGTTGAGACGCCAGACTTGAGGGCCCACGATGCCGCTCAGCTGCGAGATGGCGTTGTTGATGCCTACGTGGAGGGGAGGGGGATCAGGACATCACCACAAGAGAGGGAGGGAGAGGAGGGAGAGCTCACCGATCCCGAGCGCTGCAGCGGAAGTGCCGCGCAAAGCCGCGACTCGTCGAGGCCACAAACACGCATAGGCGGTGGCCGTCGAGCCCGAAATGACGCAGACGGCGGCATAACGCAAGCCAGCCGGTTTCGCCTTGAGGAAGACGGCGAACGAGACGAGCACGCCGGCGATGATGGCGAGCGTGACGGCGAAGGCGGAGATGCCGCGGTTGCGGATCAGGTAGGCGGAGATGATGCACATGGCGACGCCGGTTGCGGCGGGCGGGATCTGGAGGAGTTGCGTTCCGGCGGAGTCGGTGATGCCCAGGTCTTTGATGACGAACGGCAGGACGGTGCCGATGCCCCATGCCGAGACGGCGTAGCCTGCGTCGGCGCGAGGCTATCAGCAAAGGAGCGACGTCGACCTTCGCAGGAACACTCACATGCCCAGAACAGCGAGAAGAAGTAGAAAGTCGGGTCCGAAAACATCCGCTTGATCTGCTGCGCATCCCACGTCTTTGCCGTCTGCTTCGGCGCGTCCTTGTGCAGGTGGTGGACGACGTATTCCTGCTCGAGCGGCGACAACCACTTGCTCGTCGAGGGCCAGTCGGGGAGGATGACGAACATGCCGATGCCTAGTGCGATGGTAACCAGGCCTTCGAGGATAAAGAGGACTTGCCAGCCGTGGATCTTGGCCGAGTCGGAGAAGGAGACGGCGTAGGCGAAGAGGCCTGAGAAGCCGCCCGACTGCGGGCAGTGTAGCGGGCTTAGGACGGCGACGGAAGGAGCGGAGAGAGGTTTTGCGTACTGACGAGTTTGCGACGTAGAGCCAGAGGACGCGCGGCGCCATCTCCGCCGGGGTGTACCTGCGCAACATGGTGACAGATGTTAGCCAGGCAATTCCGTAATCCAGTAGAGGCGAGGCTCACCAGAACGACCAGTGGTAGATAACGCTCGTGAAGTAGCTGCCTTCAAGCAAGCCGAGCACTGCAGGGAAGCGAGTCAGCGTCGTCAAGGTGGAAGCGAGGAGGAAGACTCACGAGCACGGCAAGCGACGAGGCCTCCGTAGTTCTGCAGAGCAGCGGAGAAGTAGTGAGCTCGAGGTCAAGCGAGGCAAGAAGCGCAAGACGCACCGTGACCGCAGCCATGCATGCCATGACGATGCCCCAAGAAACGAAAATCCGTCCGAGCCAGATCGAAGGCGAGGTAGCCTTGACGAAGAAGGTGCAGATAGGTTCGGCAACGGCGTAGGGGTAGTAGAACCTGTAGCGCCGCCCGGTGAGTCGCGGAGAATTGGGTGAAGTAGGAGAACGTGCGTACGCGCTGAGCACCCATGCCCACTGGCCTGCGCTAAGGTGCAAGACCTGCTTCAGGGAATGCTTGACCTCGCTGTTCATCGTGCCGGCATTGCTGATGTCTGCAAGAATGCGACACAAAGGAGACCGTCAGCGCGAGAGCGCAAGGAGGGCTTGTGAGAAAGGCTTGGAGGGGAGGGGGCTCGACTTACTGTTCAGATCGAGCCGCACGAACATGTAGGTGATGCAGATGTAGATTAGGATGCGCGTGTCAATCCGTCGAAGCAGCTTTTTGCGGTCGATACTGGCAAAGCGGTCCTCCTGGTCCGAGGCAAAGGTCGCCTCGAGTTCTGACGGACTCTTCGAGTCGATGGCGACTGAAGCATCGTTCTTGAGGTCTTCAGACGACGACGAGAGAGACATTCTAGCGGAGCGGGATCACGGCGAGCGCCGAGAGAAGAGAGAAGGGATCAAGCGACGAGGGGCGGGAGAACATCTGCCGCTGGCGGCGAGCACGAGCGCTGTCGGCCGTACTGTGAGCCATTGTGAGCGAAGCATGCAAGCCGCAAGGAAAGCACGACATTGCGTGAGGCATGGCGAAGTGAGCTGGCGGAGCGCGAGCTGCGGATTTTTGGCGAAGTCCCGCCGTCTTCATCTCGTTGCGCGTCTCGCTCGCGCTACACTCGCTTGGTGGGCTCGCTGACTGCATGAACGGCTTACCCTGGACCATACACACACTGCTGAACCGCTGGCTGGTCGCGCGAGGCTGAGGGCGCGCTCGCCGTGCCTGCTCCACCTTGCGTGCTCGCTCTCCTCGATGAGGCCTTGTCACCCGACGAGGATCGCAGGGAACGCCACCCGTACCGGCCGAATAGAACGCACGACTCGTGCAGCACGACTTTGCCTCCGCAGCCGCTTTTCTCCACGCTCGCTCGCTCGCTCGGCATCCTCCCTCCTCGACGACCTGCACTTGACGCTCGACGCTTCAACGCTAACTGACCATGCCTACCTCCGTGCTGGATATCCCGACTTGGCAGCGTCCCGCTCCGACGCAGGAGAAGCTCGAGTATGCCGAACTCGCACGCATTGACTTGAGCAAGTGGCCGGAGCGAAAGGACGAGTTGGTCGAGGACTTGCGACATGCTGTGACGGAGGTCGGGTTCTGGTGAGCTCAGGATCTCGCTTGGATGGTTGTGAAGGCACGAACTGACGACTGAAACTGCAGGCTCGTCGAGAATACCGGAATCACGGACGAAGAGGTGGTCCGGCAGCACTCGATCGGTCCGTCGCGCCCTCGAGTCCCCATTTTTGCACCAGCTGACTGATCTGTGCGCAGGCAACGCCTTCCTCGACCTCCCGCTCGACGAGAAGCGCAAGCACCCCTGCAACTTCGCCGAGGGCAACTTCTTCGGTTTCAGGGAAGGGTTCCGGATTATGGGCAACTCGGGCGTCAAGGACAACTCTGAAGCGTGCGTATGCCACTCACCCATCTCTTCCGAACGCACTAACGCCAGCCCTCGCAGCCTCTGCCTCCCGAAGATCGTCCCTTCGCTCGCACACGAGTTCCCCGCCTACGACTTCCTCCAGCCCTTCAAGCCCGAGATCGAGTCCTTCCAACGAAAGGTACACGAACGCGTACTCGACCCGCTTCTGAGGCTGTTCGCGTTATTGCTAGAGTTGCCGGAGGAATACTTTGCTGCGGTGCGTCTCGCTCTCTCTCCTTCTTCACAACCTTGGGCTGACGTTGAAGAGGGCAGGCCCATGCGTGGGACCGTCCGACGGAGGATCACCTGCGCTATATGCGCTACATTCCTAACCCGCGCGAGGTGGACGAAAAGTTGCCGGACAAGCAGTACCTCAACGGTCATACGTGCGTCGCGCCTGACAAGCTGCGAGCGAGACTGGTGCTGAACAGGTTCGTGCGTCGAGCAGCGACTTTGGGATCGTTACTCTGCTGTTTGCGCAGGTCGTGCAGGGGTGAGTATCTGCGGTATTCCCTCGAATCCTTATGCTCGTGTATCTGACCCTTGCCTGGTTGCGCAGACTGCAAATCCTGACGGGCGAGAACGAGTGGAAACACGTCCCGTACATCCCCAACTCGATCGTCGTCAACGTGCGTTTCCCTCCGTTCCCTGCCTAAGTGTCGCTCACCCGCTTCTCGCGTGACAGACCGCCGACATTCTCTCCTTCGCGACCGCCGGCTGGCTCAAGTCGACTATCCACCGCGTCATCCGCCCCCCGGAGGATCAAGCGACTGTCCCTCGTCTCGGGGTGCGCGTCCGCCTCTCCGCTTCGTTCGTACCTCCTGCTCACCTCGTCTCACATCGCAGCTTTTCTACTTCTCCCGCGCAGCACACGACTGGCCCACCGGCGTCGTCGCGCCTTCACCCGTCCTCGCTCGACTGGGATTGTACGACCCCTCTGCGCAACCTACGAGCCCCGTCTCCGGTCTCGGTGCGTTTCCTCGCACTCTCCCCTTGCTCCGCTCCTTGACTGACTGCGTACGGAGCAGAGTTCACTCGAGCCCGGGTCAAGCATAGTTGGGATAGGCCGGTTTATGGAGACGACGAGTTCAACAAGGGCTTCGAGTTCAAGGGGTTGAGTGTCAAGACGCATTATGAGAAGTAGGCGTCTCCCTGAATGTCGAAAGTGCTGTATATTGAGTTGTAACGTCGAAGTTGTCCTCCTCGCTCCGCCTCAACGGTCCTGCGAGAGAGCGACTTGTCTTCACCCGCTCGCTCTTTTTCCCCCGCCCTCAGCTGCGTTGTCGATGACAAAGTGCTGCACTGATAGAGCACGCCAGCCAAGCCCATTCCCGTCGTTTGCACCACTTCCCGCAGCCTTGCGCCATCCGTGCCGGCGCCGACGGACGCGGCAAGCCCTTTGCCGTTCCCATTCTCCCGCTCACTCGCTTCCTGCCGCTCAAACTCACTCAGACTGCTCTCCTGGACTGCTGCTCATCCCGACAGTACCGCCCGTTCAGCCTGCGACGCCACTCCCAGCCCTTCACACCGCCGCTTCCTCGCGACTTTCTTTGAGCACCTCCGCACACATACGGGAGTTAGGATGGCGCCGAAGCGTGTGTTGAAGGTGGTGATTGTCGGTGGAGGGATCTGTGCGTATGCCGTCTCTAGCTTTGGAGGGAGGAAGCAGGCTGACCTCGGATTGTTCCCGCGGTACCCTTCTCGCCTCTCTCCCAACTTGCCATCCTTCTCCTGCTCCTTCTCCACGTCTCCTTTGATACAATCACATCCTTCCCTCACGGTCGAACCACAGCCGGAATCGCCCAAGCCGTCCGACTGCAAGAAGCGCTTGGCTCGAAAGTCGACTTCACCATTTACGAGCGCGAAGCAGAAGTCGGAGGAGTATGGCGTGACTCGACTTGGCCGGGGACTGCGTGAGTTGGCGGATTCTGCAAGACTGGGAGGAAGAGGTTTGCTGACCTTTGAGGCTGGCAGCGTCGACGTCCCGATCCACCTTTACTGCCTTTACTCGCATTTGAACCCCGATTTCTCGTCGAAATGGGCAGGGCGGGATGAGGTGCTTGGTTGTGAGTACCCTTTGTTCCCGTGAGATGTCGAAAGGACGAAGTTGACTTTGCTTTTCTCGATCCACAGACTGGGTGAGCCCTTCGCGGCAAGACCGCACTTTCCGTGAAATGCGAGGGACCAATCACGCACATACTGATGCTCTCTACTTGCAGAAACGCATCGTCGCACGGCATCGCCTCGCCGACCGCTTCGTGTTCCGCACCGAATTCGTCTCCTCCCGCTGGAGCTCCTCCACCCAATCCCACACGATCACCTTCCGTCGCCTCCCCTCCAACGAACTCTTCACCGTCCAAGCCGACATCCTCATCTCCGCCACAGGCGCACTCAACAAGCCCATCATCCCCGCCGTACCGGGGCGAGAAAATTTCAAGGGCGTGCAGTGGCATTCGAGTAGGTGGAATGGGGAGGTTGAGCTCGAGGGGAAGAGAATTGCGATTGTCGGGAATGGGTCGTCGGGGATTCAGGTCGTGCCGAATATTGTCGACGTGCCGGGAATCGAGATCGTCCAGTTGTGAGTCGCGGCGTTCTGCGCTAGCACGGCTGCGCTTTCCTCTCGAGGGACTGCACTGATGACCCCACTTACCGCACGCTCGCAGCATCCGCTCACCCGGCTACTTCCGCCCTAAAGTCAACTTCGAATACACCCCCTTCCAGCGCTTCGTCTTCCGCTACGTCCCCTTCGCGCTCCGACTGTACCGCTGGAAACAGTTCCTCGAGTACGACCGCAACATCCTCTCGCGCGGGAATGGGACTTGGACGAGCGATTTGAGGGCGAGGATGACCACGGTGCGCGCTCGAAGCCTTCCGGATGAGCGAGAAGCTCGGCTGACGAATTGGGACGATCGACAGAACATTATTACGTACATGAAGAGCCAGATGCCGGAGAAGTACTACGATGCGCTTATCCCGAAGTACCGTACGTCTCGTTGTTCGTTTTCCCTCCCTTCCTCGCTGACCCGCTTTCTCGATCGCAGCGATGCACTGCAAGCGTGTCGCCTACGACGCTGGATGGCTCGCCTCGCTCAACAAGCCCAACATCTCGCTCATCTCGGACGCCATCGTCGCCGTCGACGAGACCGGCCTCCTCACCTCGACAGGCCAGCACATCGAAGTCGACTACATCGCCTGGGCCACTGGCTTCGAGGTCAGCGAGACTGGCGTCGGGCTGAACCACGGCGTTTTCGGCGAGGACGGCAAGGAGCTTCGCGAGACGTGGAAGGAGAACAACGGAGCGTACGGGTACCTCGGAGTCGCTGTCCCCCGCGTTCCGAACTACTTCACCGTCCTCGGACCGAACGCGATCAGCCAGAGCTGGGGAAACACGATCAACAACAACACGCATTTCATCGCGCGCATCGTGCGTGGGATCTACGACCGTGGACTCTCGTCGATCGTCGTCAAGGACGAGGTCATGCGCGATTACAACAAGTACATCACGTCCCGGCTCAATCAGACGTCTCTTGCGTCTTCCGAGTGCGGTACCTCGTGGTACAAGGATCCCGTCACCGGCCGTCTCGTCGCGCCCGCACCTTGGGGAGCAAGTGCGTCCCTTCCTCCTGGCTCTTTCCGCTCCTCAAGCTAACCACCATGGTGAACAGCCGAGCTCTGGACCCGCACGCGCAAGATCAGATGGGAAGACTGGCTCTGCCGACGCAAGCTTCCCTCAGGCGAAGTCATCGAAGTCGACATTCGCACGCCTCGCTCGTGGACGCCCTGGTCGATCTTGATGGACTGGATTGCGGCGAGGTTGCAGAAGTGGTTGATCAGGCTTATGACGGAGGTCGAGCCTGGACGGGTGGGCGGAGTCGGGAAGGTCGAGCTGCTCAAGGAGGTGGGCGAGGGCAAGAAGCAGGTTGTCGAGATTGAGGTGCGATAGATCTTCTTGGGTTGTAGATGTCTCTCCTCGCATTGTACTCGTACGCACCGCCTGATACGCGCGAGAGAAGCATGCCTTGCAAACAGACTCGCCCGCTACAGCCGAATCCTCGTCTTCGGATGCTCCGCCTGATAAGCCTGCATCACCGCCCGGATCTGCCTCACAATCTCCTGGGCAAACGCCGGACTTTCGGCCTCGAAGTCGTACCGCTTGTCTACGCTCCGGTTCGTGTGGACGACGATCTTGAAGGACGAGGCGGAGCGGCGACTGATTTTGCAGGTGTGGACTTGCGAGATGTGGAACGAGGTTGTGCGGCCCGAGGTGCCGCCGAGGAGGTGCGTTCCGCCGCCTCCGCCGCGTCCGTCGTCAGGCGGCATGAAGTGTAAGCTGCGGGAAAAAGTGATCAATGACGGCTTCATGAAGCTGAATGATGGCTACTCACTAGTCGCCGTCGATCGCGATGACCCGCGCATGCCGTCCGCCGAGCGACATCGGCAGCTTGCGGAGGACGTTGAAGTGTTGGTAGGGCGCGACGACCTCGAGCGCAGTTGGCAGACCTCGCTGGGCAGGTTGATTGGGCTGCGCCGAGGTGAAGATCGATTCTGCGGGTATGAGCAAAGGCGCGTTAGTCGGTCGCATCAGCTGACGAAGGACAACATGCGGAAGCGCACCGGACGGATCTGCGCTTCTCGCATCTCGTCTCCGTAAGCCGACCGCTCCAACCTGACTTCTCGGCACGAGGACCAGCGTATGATGCTCGCCTAACGATGAGACCGTCCGGTCGAGCGGGGCGACGATGTCTCCGTCCGAGAGGCGGACGACGAGGGCACAGTCGCGAGGGTGAGGAGGCGGTATAGGCGAGATGCGCTTGCAAATGTGGTCTGCGCAGCTGGTGCGTGAGCAAGCGGTGCGCGCGTAGGAGAGAAGGACCGCAGGCGTACCGAGCAAGTCTGCGATGTACATGTCAGAGGGGACCTGCACCTCGATCTCGCTCCGTTCCTCATACTGCAACAGGACCTCGACCTTGAGTTCAACAGGTACAGCCAAAGCCGAGCCGGCTGCACACGTCGACGGCTCGATGATGCCGTTTCCGCCAGCGTCTGGTGGAACGGGAGTCGCGGTGCCGGGACCATGAGGCGTCGGGACGTTCGAGTGTCGTCGAGAGGGCGTGCCGCTTGCTGTGGCGGTTGGGCCGGTCGACAGGATGCGAGACGGTCGGCGGACGATCGAAGCTTGTTTCGTGGCGTTGTCCTCGACTGCAGGAAAACAGTCAGCATCGCTCGAACTGTCCGTGGGAGCAAAAGACCACGCACTCTGTTGACCAGTTGCGCGGACGATCGCGAACTCGGTGAAGGAGAAAGCCGAGACGTTGCGCATCCTGTCAAGAGCTGTACGCGCCGGGTTCCGCAGGACGCCATCAGCACAGGCCATCACTAGGAGGAGCCAGGTGCAGATGCGAAGAAACGGTCACACACCAGGAAAGTCCTCGTCGACCTCTCCGTCTTCCTCGACAATCCTCAGGTTCCATCTAGTCGTCTCCCTCCCCTCCTCCGCTTCCCCCGGCTTCACTCCGATGTTCTCGCCATCCAGCTTCGGTTCCCTCCCATCGTCCTCCCAGTACGCCCACAACCCCGCTCCAATCACTTCCTCAACAGTCACATCTCGCTTGACGCGGATCTTGAGCGGCTGCGAAGGGCGCGAGGAGAAGGGGAAGTAGAGCGCGAGATTGAGAGTTGAGGGGTCTGGGCCGGGCGAGCGGGAGATGCAGGATTGGTAGAGCCGCGAGAACGGGTTGTAGGGTTTCGAAGAGGCGGTGGAGGCGGAGGAGAGGAGCAGCGAGAGAGCCGACTTCTGACCGGACGGACGAGGGCGGGGTGAAGGGGTGGAGAGGTACGTTGAGCGTGGGGGGAAAAGCGGAGAGGGTTTCGCGTCGCTTTCCGGCGACGAGGCAGGTGAGCGAGAGGAAGGCGGGACGGTGAGGGTGTTTTCCGCGGGCGGCGCAGGCGGGGCGGCAGGCCGAGTTGGCGGAGCGACCGGCGGAGGCACAGGGGCGGAAACCGCCTTCTCCTCCTCCTTCGGCTTCTCTGCCACCGCATTGAGCGGGACGAGCGGGTCGAGTCCACGAATGTTGACCCTCCGCCTTTCCCGGACCTTCAGCCCAGGCGGGAGCTGGAACACCGGGCCCGCCTGCGCAGGTGGCGGCTGAGGAGCGACAGTTGCTGGCGACGGCGGAGGCGGCGGCTCGAGCGTCTCTTGCGGCTGTCCACCGGGACCTTGCGCGACAGACGTGCCGAAGAGCGAGATGCCTGAGCTCGCCTGCGACTGCGCCGCGACTTGTGCAGGTCCGGCTGGTGAATCAGGCGAGGGTTCAGCGGTTGGCTGCAGTGGCGGTCGAAGGATCTGCGAGGAAGCCGGTGTTTGCGAGGGCGAAGAAGCGAGAGAAGGTGAGATGTAGGAGGCTTCGGACGATGGGACCGATACGGCGGCTAGTGGGCGCGATGGATAATCGCCTGGAGAAGAAGGACTAGCGGGACCTGGGCCTCTAGGCTGAGGCGAGGCGGAAGTGCCGGCAATTTGCGCTGCGTCCGCAAGCCGAGGTCGTCGCTCACTCCCCGGATCAGGACCAGGAGCTCGTAACGGCGGAGGCGATGTCGAAACTCGATCTCGAGGCGTCTTCACGGGCGAGTGCACGACCACTGGCGGCGGAGGCGGATGTGCGAGGTTGCGAGTCGGCGGAGAGGAAGACGAGGAGACGGATTGGCGGTGAACGCCAAAGCCTGGCGGTCGTCTGAGACAGCAACTGGCATCAGCGGATTCTACGCGCCGCATGAAGGTCAACTCACTCGAGACTTTCCGCATCGCCGTCTTCCGCATCCTCCTCGACCAGCTTGCCCTTCCCCTTCCAAGTCCTTGCCTTCCCGCCAACCCTCATACCCGCACTTCCCGCTCCACTCCCTTTTCCGACGATCGTCTGCGTATACCCCAGCTGCGCACCACCCGTCCCCTGCTGAAGTCTCCTCCTGCGTCCCGCTCCCACTGCAACCTCGACACCCTTCTGCTCCCGCTCAATCACCGGCGCAAGAGGCGGACTTCTCCGCCCTGAACTCGACTGCTGTACCTCAGGCCACCTATCCGCGTCTGCTGCGCCCGAAAGCGCAACATAGACGTTCTTCCGTCGCAGTTCGTGCGCGGGAGGAAAAGAGATGAGGTTGTAAGGTCCGCCGCTGCCGCCTGCGAGAGTTGTCGAGGCGGAGAGTGGAGCGTGCGAGGGAAGAACGTGGCGGATGTATGCGAGCTGGACGGTGTGGAGGAGGAAGCTGTTCGGGTCGAGGAGGGAGTCGAAGTCAGCGCGGTCACAGCGAACTCGATGACATGGGACGCACTCTTTGTCCGTCAGAGTCGACATCTACGCCAGACTACACGCCACGCAAGCCGTGCGAGCGCGCTCAGGACCTGGCAAACAGCTCGGCGAAGGGGAGTGGGGCGGCGGTGGTGAGGGAGTGAGCAGGAGTCGCGAGGGACACCAGTCGCGCCGCCAGAGCGTTCAATGTAGCTGTACAGCCGGATCAAGCGCAGCAAACAGCCCAAGCGAGCACTTCGAGGCGAGTGTACGCGGAAGAGAGATCGCGAGGAGGTTTGCCTTCCATCAGCTTACTCGACTGCCACGGGCTGGCTGCTGGACACGCTAGACGAGCCATGAGCTACTCGGCACACGCGCCACTGCGACCGTCGCGCCTCAACTCGTCGCCGTCGTCTTCATCGCTCCACCCCTCGAGCGACGGACAACCTCCCTCTTCACCGACGACGAGCTCGTTCTACACGGCTGCGAGTGCACGGGCAGGGTCATACAAGGGTCAGGCATCGGTCAGGTCTGCGTCAGCGCGAGGAGCGAGCGCGTCATCTTCCTCGCGACGGACTTCGCTCGGGACAGGCAGTCATGCTCGACCAGCCGGCGCAGCGTCTTCCTCCCCGACAAGCTCCTCAGCGTTGGCACTATCGACTCGCCGAGCAGCACACGAGAACGCGCGACAAGCAGCCCGCGCTCGACTCTTCCCTCCCCGTTCTCTCGGCTCGACTTCACTCGCGCTCTTGCCGGACGAGCCAGGCGGGTTCAATCGCGGAGGAGACTGGGAGGAATATGACGAGGATGAGTTGATGCGGCTGGAGATTGAGATGAGGAAGGACAGGCGGAGGTGGGAATGGGAGGGAAAGATGAAGGAGGAGTGGGCGCGAGAGGAAGGCTTGATTGTCGAGGAGGAGCCCGAAGATGCAGGCATGACGGAGGAGGGTGCGTCTCCTCTATCCTGGTCTGTTTGTGTCACGACGCTGACACGCGGTGCCTACAGAACCGCCTCTTGACGTCCAGTACGAAGACGGCCCGTTCACCTACTCTGCCTTGCCTTCTCCAACGATCTTCCCTCCACGCCTTCCTTCGCTCGCTTCCGACCCGGGCGACTCGGCATCTAGCGCCGCTCCATCGCCAACAGCCGAAGACTTCCCCATGGAGTCCGCCTCTCTTCCCTCACATCCTTCCGCCAACGACCGGGATGCCTTTGAGCGTGCGTTGAGGGACGTACATACATGTCCGGCTTGTAAGGCGGAGGGCGCGGTCAGATTGTCGGCGGAGGAAGGAATGAAGTGCGGTGCTTGCGGGTGGGGGATCCATGTGGATGTGTTGCGGCCGCTCGAGGAGGCTTTCGTCTCGCATGGGTGCGTTCGAGCTCGCTTTCGTCGCTCAACGAAGTTAGCTGACTTGTCTGACAGATCTGCCAGCGAAGGACACCTTCCCATCGTCACCTACACGCCTTTCACCGACACGATCGTCTTCTGCGCCCACAGTGGCTGCGACGAGCAGTTTGCGGCGTGACCCCCGACCTTTCCCGCCATCCTTACTGCGGTCTTCGTCCAGGTTATCCAGACAGGTTGTGCCCCTTGTTGTTGTCTAGCTTACTCTCGTTCGCCCAACCCTCCTCGCATGCGAACATCGCTGCTCTGCATACGCTTCTTCACTCTGTTCTCGCGCTGCTTGCAGTCCTCTCCAAGCGATCGTGTCGCGCTTGACCCCTCCGCTCGCCTTCCTCTCGCTCTCACTCTTCCGCTCATCTCGCTCATCTCGCGCTCGCTTCGAACCAGCCTGTCATGTCCTTCCCATCCTCCTACGCTCACCCTCTGCCGTTCCATTCCCGCCGCACCCCCGCCCCTCCGCCAGGCCGCCGCCTCATCTCCTACGCCTCCTCGCCCACCCCTTCTCCCCCCGCACCACCTCGCAAGCGACCTCCGCTTGTGATGCAGACTCCGATGAACGGGCAGAGATGGCCTAAGGACGGGTGGGAGCTGTTGATGCGCGAGGAGAGCGAGGGGTCGAGGAGGGGTAGAGGGAGGGAGATGGGCGGCGAGAGGAGGCCGGAGGAGCGTGCGAGGGCGCCGGAGAGGGTCATTGAGCAGGTGCGTATTGATTTCGATGCAGTCCGAAGGCGTACGAGGCGAGCAAGCTGACTTGCTTTGTCCTCGACTCGCTCACAGCCCTTCCTCACTCCTTCGCCTCCTCCGCCCGTCTCGTACGACACGCCGCCTTACATGCGACGGAGCCACTACTCGGCGCAGGGGAGTGACAGCTCTGCGCATCCTCCGCTGCGGCACAAGAAGGGAATCGTCCTCCGAGGGTCGTACCGTGCGTCCTGGTTTCGCTACTTTCACTTTGATCGTGCTCCTCGTCAGCAAGCGGAGCGCTGACGATGGCGAACTGTGATGCACAGGCGACCCCCTCCCTCCTCCGCCCCCTTCTCTCCCTCGCCGCCCTCCAACTCCCCTCCGCCTCGATCCCGCTCCTCCTCCTCCCGGAAAGAACGCTTCGTTCGCCCCGCCCGGTCTCATGTCCCGCCCTCCGGTCTATCACAATGGCTATCGAGGAGGACAGTACCGGGACGAGGCGTTCGTACGCGGCGAGGCGAGGGGTCGACCTTCTCAATCTGCTTTCAGTGGACCGTCGGGCGCGCGTGGCTGGTCTGGGCAGTATGTAGGCGATGGAAGGGGCTACGGAGGAGCTCCGGACGGGAGGCAAGGCCCGCGACCGGCTTTCACAGCCCCGAGGCATGTTCAACCCGCTCCTCCTGCTCCGCCTTACGCAGCCTCAACTTCTCGCCCATTCACCTTCGGCGCCGCCTCAACCGCCTCATTCAACAACTCTGTCGCCCCGTTCCACCCTCCGCGCCGCTCCGCCCCATCCTTCCACCCTCGCTCTCCCTCTCCCGCAACCTTTTCTCCAACTCCGCCCCTCTCACATCGCTCACCCACCGACCTACCCCCCTCTCCACCCCTCACCCTCCCACTCCCCTCACGCCTCGCCTCCCCCTCGCTCGACCCCGGTCCCCTCTGGCTAACCGAAGCGCTCTATGGGCCCAGTCACGAAGAGATGTGTGCGTGGCGGAAGCGCGCGAGGGAGGAGGAGGAGGAGGAGGGAGAGGGGAGGGGGTGGTTGGGTGGGTGGGATTGGGAGAGTTGGGAGAGGGAGAAGAGGGGGAGGAAACGGGTGCGGAGGGATTAGGAGATGAGGGGGAGGGGGGAGCGAATGATGGCTTGTAGGATGAGAGAGGGGCTTGGAACGCGCTCAGCCGACACAAGGCTTCCTGCTTTTACTCGTCGCATCTACGCGAGGAAGCGCACTCGGCGGCCTCCTCAGCGTCGTCCCGCTTCTCGCCTCGCTCTCCTGGCTTCTTACAGGCTGAGAAAGCGTAAAAGAAAAGGGTCCATATCATCTCCAAAGCGCAAAAAAGGCGAACAAAAGAGAGGCAAGATTGAAAGCCGTACGAAGCCGCTCAAAGGCGGGCGGAAGGGAAGATACGAAGTGCAGGCTATCGCAGGGCCGGTGGCCTGATAAAGCGAGAAGGAGAAGGCGAAGGAAGTGAAAGGAGGGTGCGGGTGTGGTATATCGAGATGGAGAAGCCGAAGACGGACGAGCGGGTGGAGCCAATTCGGGGACGACCGCGGTTTTACTTGATCATCATCTTGACGAACCTGCGATTCCCAACCCACTTGCTATTAGCCACACCGCACTCACCAGAGGAAGCGGGGAAGGGAAGAGAGGGCCGGGACGCACTCGTCGTAGTTGATCTGTCCATCGCCGTCGACGTCCGCCTCGCGAATCATCTCCTCGACTTCCTGGTCGCTCAACTTTTCGCCTACACGCGCGGTGGGTCGTCCGTGTCGTACGAGTGGCGAGCAGGGCGGAGGAGGCGGGAGAAGGCGAGGGGACGGAAAGAGTCCGTCAGCGGGCCATTTCGCTTCGGACAACGATGGCGGCGACGACCGCTACGCACCCAAGTTGGTCATGACATGCCTCAACTCGGCAGCCGAGATGAACCCGTTCCCGTCTTTGTCAAAGACCTTGAATGCCTCTCGGACCTCTTCTTCCGAGTCGGTTTCGCGCATCTTGCGTGCCATCATGGCTGTTTTCGGCGTTTTATGCATCGTGGGACGTTGGAACGCGTGCGAGTGGGTGCGTAGAGCGGTCGGAGGCGTGCGAGAGGCGGCAGCAGAGCGGGGAGGAGAGGGATCGAACGGAGGGCCGTGGAGAGTGGGTATGGGGTGTGCAGGCGGTCGGACGGTGCGGGAATGGTGATGAATTGTGCAGGTGGGTCGAGGCGGCGGTAGCGGGAGGAGGCGGCGAGAGGGAGGAGGAGGAGAAGAGACGAGTTCCGTCAGCATTAGTCTCTCTCGCCCGCAACTCGCACCCGCGCTCCTCCGCCCTCACACCACAGAACAGAGACACTGCGACGCACTGAGGAACTCGGGAAAGTCGATCTGTCCATTCCCGTCCGCGTCGACCTCGTTGATCATGTCCTGGAGCTCTGCCTCTGTCGGGTTCTGTCCGAGCGAGCGCATGACGGTGCCGAGTTCGCGCGTCGTGATCGTGCCGTCTCCATCTGTTCGTGCGAGTGTGGGTGAGTGAGGGAGAGAAGGGGAGATGGCGATCAGGTGGGGAACGGACCTTTGTCGAAGAGGGAGAAGGCCTCCTTGAACTGCGGGAGCGTGCAGTGGATGTCGAGTAGAGTGCGAGTCGGTATCAGGTGAGAAGCAATGAGCGCAGTCGGGCCGTGAGAGGTCGAGGTCGAGTCGACGAGTGCACGCGCCGTGGAACGAGCGATGAGGGGCGATGGAAGGGGTCGAAGGGCAGCGAACGAGTCAGCGCGAGTCCCGTACGCCTCACTACAGGCCCGTACGTACCTCTGCGATCTGTGCCTCGCTCTGCGTGGTGTGCGAGGTGGGCGAGGAGCGGGGTCACGCAGGTCGGGAGGGGTCGAGTTGGACGAGGACGGGGGTCAGCGGTGTGCGCTCGTTCGACTGCGTGTGTGGGTTGAGTGCGTGCTTACGAGCTGGTCCATCGTGTGCTTTGCTGTTTGGGTGAGCGTGAGGCAGAGAGAAGGAGACACTCCGCAGCGTGAAGAGCGAGGTCGGTGTGCTTACTTTGCAAATACAGCCATAGAGTATTCACATTAGTACAATCTACAATCTAGTAATGCAGCACACACTTACTCGCGCAAGTCGCAACCCAGCGAGGTCGACTCGCTCGTCCTCCTCGTCGTCGTCCCCTTGTTCCGCTCTCTCACACCAAAGTCACTCTCGCTGGAACTGCCTGGCTGCATTGGGACACTGCTCTGGTACCCTTGGAACTGCGCCTGACTATCCAGCCGACTCTCCCATCCCGCCCTCGACCCGCTCGCTCCCCACTTCACCTCGTCATCCTCCTCCCTCCGACTCGCTAACGCTGCCTGATAGGGCTGATTGAGCGCAACGAAGTGAGTTCAGCGAAGTCTGGTCGAAGTTGACGAGCGCCGGGCGGATTGGGCGGCGTAGTGTGCGGGGAGGGAACGCCGAGGGAGGCGTCGAGGAGGAGAGGGCGGACGACAGCAGAGAGGGCGGTCCAGCGACTCAGAATCATCCTACAGGATCTCACAAAGCCTGTGCTGACCCCTCGACCACAGCCATCCCGACCATGCCCTCCCACTCCTCCCTGACCTCGTCCGAAAAGTCCCTCATCAAGAAACACGCGCCCACTTCCTCGGGCGACAAGATCCACTCTGCCGCCATCGGACGGATCTACTACGCCTTTCCCGACCCGACGAAATGGAGTTACAGCGGGATCAGTGGAGCGGTCGTGTTTGGGTGGGGACAGGCGGGCGGGTGGTTGAAGGTTGTGGATTTGGCGGTGAGTGCGGCTAGTTTTACACGAAAGAGATCGTGCTGACGACTTTCTGGACGACAGGGAACGAGGGGCGTCGTTTGGCAGCACACGGTCGTCGAGGACATGCCTTACTACCAGGACCGCACTTTCTTCCACACCTTTCCCTCGGACGTGAGTACCGCGCGCACGAATCTCTCCGTTCGCTCCGAGTCAGGAGTACCGAGCTGATATACGCGCCCGACGTTGACTCGCAGGACTGCATGATCGGGATCGCCTTCTCCTCGGAATCAGAAGCGGCAGACCTCTTCAAAAAGATCTCTCTCCGTCACAAATACGCCTCCAAGTTCTCCTCCTCCTCCTCCGCTCCCTCCTCGTCCAAAACCACCTCCTCTTCGCCGTCCAAAAAGAAGAAGAAAGGCGGGATTGACAAGAGCATGATTGGCGCCCCTACTGGGTTCAGCCATGTCGCGCATATGGGGTTCGATAGTGAGAAGGGATTTTCGAGTAGGAACATCGATCCGAGTTGGGAGAGGTTGTTTCAGCAGCTTGAGAGTCAGGGGATCAGTCGGGTGCGTCGCGCGCGCTCCTTCGCTTCTCCAGCATACTCGTCCATACGCGCACGCACTGATGCAGTTGGAGCTGGTTGCGCACAGGACCAAATCGAGAAGAACGAGCATTTCATCCGCAACTTCGTCGAAGGCTCAGGTGGCCCAACCGCTTCCGTCCCTCCCTCTCGCACCTCCGCGCCCTCCGCTCCTCCTCCTCCTCCCCCTCCCTTGAATGGCCCACCTTCACGCGCTCCGCCTCCCCCGGCGCCAGCGAGCTCGAAGCGTGTCCCACCGCCCGCGCCACCTTCGCGCGCTCCAGGCGGAGGAGGCGCAACGGCGCACGCAGTGAAGCGCAAACCTCCCCCTCCTCCTTCACGTGGCGCACCAGCACCAGCACCTGCCGCACCATCAAGCGCTCCTCCGCCACCGCCTCCTCCTCCTCCGGGTGGCGCACCGCCAAGCCGAAGCGCACCTCCTCAACCTCCCTCTCGAACAAGCGCGCCGAGTCCTCCGCCTCCGCCGCCGCCTCCTCCTCCTCCGGGTGGCGCAGCCCCTCCACCACCGCCTCCGCCTATCGCTGCAGGAGGAGGGGACGAGAGGGGAGCGTTGTTGGCGAGTATTCAGGGGATGGGGGTCAACAAATTGAAGAAGGTGCGCCGGTTCCCGTTTTCTGGAAGTCTGAGAAGATACTGATAGCGAGCTTGTTGGTGCGCACAGACGGACAAATCAGCGATCGAGAACGCCGGTTCGCTAGCAGCGATGGGCATCGTAGGCGCCGGCGTCGCAGGAGCCGCTTCCATCGCCGTTGCTTCCTCTGCGCCTGCAGCGGATAGTGGAGGCGGGGACTTGGCGAGTGCGCTTGCTGCGGCTTTGAGTCAGAGGAAGGGGAATATGGGTGGGGAGAGCGATGAGGAGGGAGAAGGGAGCGATGATGAGGATTGGTGAGCGGGATGCTGTGGGTGGAGGATGTAGGAGTGGATGCTTAGGAGGTGTAGGGAACCGTGGAATGAGTGAAGGTTGGATGGTCCCTCCTGTGCGACGAGGAGAGGTATCGCTCGCTTTTTCGGTTTCGCGCGGGTCGCTCGCCCGCTTGTCGATGCTCGTTGAGTCAGAAAGCGTCCTTGTTGCTCAGTAAGCGCTCAGTCAGCCCAGCGAGAGTCAATTCTGCGTGCGGTGGTGCGCCGCTTCCTCTCAGTCTTGCTCTCCTTCCACTCACTTGCTCTCACGCTAGACCAGCTAGACTGTTTCGGCAGCATGACCCGCACTCATCCCTTTCAAACAGTCGACGCCTTCACCTCCTCCCCCTTCTCCGGCAACCCAGCAGCGGTCCTCATCTTCACCTCCTCGACCGAAGACCAGACGCTGGCAAAGGACGATGACTTGATGCAGAAGATTGCGGCCGAGTTCAATCTCGCTGAGACGGCTTTCTGTCGCGCGCTTGGACGGGAAGGAGGCGAGGAGGAGGAGGAGAGTCGTGAGTACGAGATTCGGTGGAGGACGCCGACGGTTGAGGCGCGTTGCGAGGTTCGCAAGACGTCGAGGAGGCTGTGCTGACACGGTTGTCACCGCCCGCAGGTCCCGCTCTGGTGAGACGCCGTCACTTCCTCCTCGAAACGCTTCAGCGAGAATTGACTTCCCCTCCTCCTGCAGCGGCCACGCGACCCTCGCCTCCGCCCACGTCCTCTTCATCACCTACCATCCCACCGCTACCTCCCTAACCTTCCGCACCCTGCACTCCGGCACCCTCCGTGCCGTCCGTAACAAATCCGACAACTCCATCTCGCTTGATTTCCCTGCGGCGTCGCTGTTGACGCTTGAGGAAGGACATAGGAGGAGACCGAAGATTGTGGAGGCTGTCAAAGCTGCGACGGGGTTGGGAGAGGAGATCGTTGGGAAGGTGGCGTGGTGGGACGCTTGGAATGGAGCGGTGGTCGAGCTGGATGCGGGCGTCGACTTGGCGAACTTGAAGGTCGACATCGCGGCGACGGTGGGTCGAGCGAGGCGCTGCTTTTGACTTATGCAGAGAAATTGACGCTTGACATCCCCCAGGCCACGGTCGGCGATATCCTCCTCCTGACGCAACCCGCACCCGCCTCGTCCGGCTTCGACATCTACTCTCGCGTCTTCGCACGTCCAGTCGGTATTGACGAAGATCCCGTAGTGCGTCGAAGTCCCATACTCTCTTGCAAAGCCCTCACGCTGAACTCTCGCTCAATGCTCGCTTTTCTCGCAGACCGGCGCAGCACACACCGCCCTCGCCGTCTTCTACCTCCTCGACCCGAACATCGCTTCTCGTCTCCCTCACTCGTCGCAGGCGCTCGCGAGCTCGACGTTGCGAGCGAAGCAGGTCAGCAAACGCGGAGGCGAGCTTGTTGCTGTGCTGGACAGGGAGGGGAAGAGGGTGGAGTTGAGGGGCCAGGCGAGGAGGGTCATGAAGGGTGAGATTGAGCTGTGAGGCGTTACCGATAGACGTCAAAATGCAAGGAGTTCTTCCGTTCTTGCGTTTCGGACCTCGCTCCGCTTCGACGCAGACATGACTGGCACTGCATAATCTACAAACGCTCTGCACTGTGCACCGGCGGCTTCTAGTTGCTCTTGATAGCGTACTTGCGCCGCAGCCCTCCCATCAGCAGCCCGCAAAGCGCGAGTCCTGCGGAAGCGGCGCCGACTGCACAACGACGCATGGTGGAGGTTTGTCAGCTCGATTGGGCAACCAGATAGACGGTGCTGGTCTGCAAGGGGCAGGGGCCGGCGGGCAAGCGGAAGGGGACGCACCGAAGACAATCATGCGAAGGAAGCCATACTTCCCGAAAGTCGGCCTGCGCAACCCTCGTATCAGCCACAACGCCTCAGCTTAGGAGTGAAGACTACGCACGCTTCCTTTGCGTGCCGACTGTCATATAAGGCCTGCAGAACGACCGGGATGAAGAGCGAAGTTGCGCCGCGGACGGCTGCGAGAAGTGTGACGATGAGTGTGCTGGTTTGAGGGCTGTTCACTGCGGGCGGAAGACACTTGAATTAGCTGAAAAGCGCATCAAGAGTGTCAAGTTCACGCACGACTCAAGTCCTTCGTCACTGCAGCAGAAGCCGCCGCCTGCTGACCCGTCAAACCGAACAAGACCGCGAAAGCGTAGACCTTGCCCAGCGTATCCGCCAGTCCCCATGCCGTCAAGCTCAACATTAGACCGCACAAGCCGACGAGCGTGAGGCCCAGCGTCAGGCTGTAGTCCGCAATGCGGCCGACGAGGATGCACCCGCCGCACGCGGCGAGGTTGAACAGGCCGACGACGAGATTGATGGTCATTGTGGACGACGAGAAGGAAGCGGCGTAGACGGCGAGGTAGTTGGCGACGGGGAGGTAGGCGAGCGAGGCGAAGAGGGTCGAGATGGCCTGCGGGTCGTCTGCGAGTCAGTTGCGTGGGAAGGCGAACACTTACAAGTGCAAGCTCACCATGCACAGGAATACTGGATTGTGCGAGAAGCGCCAGTCGACAGCGAGCCACGGCGCTCGGCCGTCCGTCGGCTTGACGAACGGAATGCGCGGTTGCAGGAGGATGATCGAGGCGGCAAAGGTGACGGCCGTGAAAGCGGTCCAGACGCGACACATCCAAGCGGAACCCTTTGCCTCCAGGACGGCGTTGATGAGCCACGGGAGGATGAAGCCGCCGAAGCCGTTGCCTGGAAGTCGGGCAAAAGTCAGCCTTGCAAAGGAAGAAAGATCTCGATGCGAGTGAACTCACCTGCGCCGATCACGCCCCATGCCATCCCGCGCCGCGCAACCCACCAATCGCTGAAGTAGAGAAAGACCGGGGCAAAGATGAGCGTGTTGGCGACGCCGCAGAGGAAGCCTTGAAGCACTACGAGCTGCCAAAGCTGGCGGGGTAGGGCACGTCAGCGTAGGACCACGTGATGGTGCTCAACGCAGGATGCAAACTGACCTGGGTTGCCCAGCTCGAGAGAAACATGCTGCAGCAGCTGACGACGAGCGAGGTCCACTGCACAAGCCGCACGTACTCGCCGTACCGCCGCAAGACGACGACAGCGAATGTACTGCAAGCACAAGGGTCAGCAAGTGACGCTCGCTTCCGGCAAGACAGCCAGACGCACGGCAGTACGTAGAGGAGACCTAGCTGAGTCGTCCCGATTGCTGAAAGCGCCGACAGCGAGTTTTGCTGCCAAGGATCGTGCGACTGGAGGTAGACGAGAATCGTCGCAAACGAGAAAGCGTAGCCCCAGCTGTTGTGGAAGGTCAGCGACGCAATCTTGTCGAAAGGGAGGAAGAGGACGGAGGACGAACACGAAGATTCTGCGAATGAAAGCGAGGCTGTCAGCTTGCTCGCTGGTTTCTTGAATGAGAAGGACGCACTCAAGTAAGAACGAGGCCGCAAGGAACTGCCAGGCATGCCGGCCCCCGTCTACGGGCGGAAGAGCCTTTGCGCTGTCTTCACCGTCCCCAAAGTCGAAAGTGGAGATGCGGGACGGTGTCACGGGTTCTAAGGCGAGTTGGGACGGGTCTGCGGCTGTCTGCACGGTCGGCGATGGCGAGTCGCCGCCTCGCGCGTCCTCATCAGTCGGAAGTGGGGGAGGAGGAATAGTCGAGGACCCAGTCGTTATTGTGGTCATGGCGGGACGCAAGGCTCTCGTTAGCCTTCAGCAGGGTCGAGACAGCAGGTGTCGAGACTAGCGAGGGTGTGTTGAACGAGTGAGCGGTCGAAGAACAACTTCCGAAGAGAAGCGACGGCTTGCTTCCGACGAGTCAAGTCTAGGACCCCCGTCTCACGAGTTATACGATGTCAGCAGCGACGCAGGAGACGCGAAGTCTCGAAAATGTTGGCCAGAACCCTCGACTGCTCCTCGCGCCGAAGACCAACCGAACGCATGCCTTGCAATACATGCCATAGTCGCTGCTACCTCTACAAAGACTTGACAGCGAAACGTCGCCGCAGGCCCGCCATGACGATGCCGCAGAGTGCGAGTGTTGCGGATGCGACGCCGACTGGCGGTAGGCGGACGGAGGGGGCGAGCAGAGTAGGCAGGTCGGACGACAATCCGCTTCAGCCTTTGATTGCGATTTGAGGTAGAGAAGAGTGTACGTACCGAGGATAATCATCCGCATGAAGCCGTACCTGCCGAAGGAGCGTCTGCGGGCGCACTCAAGTCAGCCAAGCGTTTTGACTCCTGCATCAAACCGAGACGCACTGATGTTCCGCTGTCTCTCGACTGTACAATGCTTGAAGAATGAAGGGGATGAACAGCGAGGCCGAGCCGCGTACGATGGGGAGGCTGGTGAAAATGAAGGTGCCCGTGTTGGGGTTTTTCGCTGGAGAGTGAGTCAGGTGGGTCAGCCTGAGTAGCGGGAAAGGAGACAGATATACGCACAGGCGAGGTCCTTGACGACGCCGCCCCAGGTAGACGTTTGCTGGCCGGTCAAGCCGAACAGAACCGCGAAAGCGTACACCTTCGCAAGCGTATCGGCGAAACCCCAGGCGGTCAGGCTCAGGAATGCGCCGCAGAGTCCGATAACCGTGACGCCGAGCGAGTAGCTGAAGTCGGACACTCGTCCTGCAAGCATGGAGCCTCCGCAAGCTGCCAGGTTGAAGAGTCCGACGACCAGGTTGATCGTCGTGACGGATGAAGAGAACGATGAGGCGTAGACTGCGAGGTAGTTGGCGACAGGAAGGTAGGCCAGGGAAGAGAAGAGGGTTGCGATGGCCTGCCACAAACGAGCGTTAGCCAAGGTCGTTCAGGCGGGAGGTGCTACTGACCATGCAGATAAACAGCGGATTCCGCAAGAAGGTGAAGTCGACTGCAAGCCAAGGCGCGCGTCCGCTCGCTGGCTTAACGTAAGGTATGCGCGGCTTGAGCAGGAGGATCGAAATGGCGAAGACAACCGCGGTGAAGATCGCCCACACGCGGCACATCCAGGCGAAGCCTCGGGCTTGAAGAACGGCATTGATGAGCCAGGGAAGGGTGAAACCGCCGAAGCCGTTGCCTGCGGAGCGTTGTTAGCGCACGAAGCTGCGCATGCGGAATGACGGGTGCTTACCTGAGACGATCAGGCCCCACGCCAAACCGCGGCGAGCGACCCACCACTCCGAGATATAGCAGAAGACGGGAGCAAAGATGAAGGTGTTGGCGATGCCGCAGAGCACGCCTTGCAGCACGACGAGTTGCCAGAGCTGGGAGAGGGAAGCGTTAGCGGGGCAGGCCCGTGTGTATGCAACAGGCGCACCTTTGTAGCCCAGCTCGATAGCAGCATGCTTCCGCAGCTGACAGCGACAGACGTCCACAAGATCGTCCGCACCCAGTCGCCGTACCGTCGAAAGATGACCACCCCGACGATTCTGCCGGCATCTCGTGAGGTCAGCGATACCGTCTGGCTTCAGTGAGTAGCCTGACGTACGGCAAGCAGTACATCAAGCCCAGCTGTGTTGTTCCGATGGCTGAAAGCGCGGAAAGCGAGTATTGTCGCCATGGGTCATGCGACTGGAGGTAGACGAGGACCGTAGCGAACGCGAACGAGTAGCCCCAGACTGGAGAAGCAGCATGCGTCAGTCTCGTTGAAAGAGCAGCGTTGAGCGCCGTCGAGGCGGAGTCGAGGACAGAACGATGGCAAGGACGGACCGAAGCATCTGCGCAGAGTTGGGGTAAGCTCGCGTCCCCCGTCTCCAAAGCGATCAAGACGCACTCTAGCATGAACGAAGCCACTACGAACTGCCAGGCATGCCGTCCTCCATCAACCGGCGGAAGGGCTTTCGCATTGTCCTCCCCGTCACCAAAGTCGAATGTCGAGACGCGGGAGGCTGCTGGTGAAGAGTGCGGAGGTTCTGTCGGCAGTGTTGGCTCTTCATGAACGGCTGTCGCGGTGACGGCGGACGACATCGCTAAACTTCGCTCGACGAACTGATGTGGGGAGAGGACGCAGAGACAGCGAGTGCGAGCCTCGCAGCGTGCGGTAGAGCAACTCGAGGGTAGGCGAAGATGACTGGAGAGAAGAGCAGCAAGCGCGAAGGAAGGGAGCGAGGTCGGCGGAAGTGGATCGAGGAGGACGAGCGAGTCAGACGCTGCCGGGGCTGTCAGCAGCGACGCCTGCGCGCGCGGCACTGGAAGCTTTGCTGACTCCCGACAGGCGCAATACAGCCGGCCGAGCATGCGAGAGCAGAGTGTAAAGGACGGCAGACGAAGGAGAGGAGATGTTTCTCCTCGACGAAGCGCTGAGCGGATTGGGGTTGCTCGGTTCAGCTGAGGCGGAATCGTCCTCTCGCCCAATCAACGGAGTTGCGAAGGTTGTCGCAAGCGATTGCACGGAGCAGTGTCTGTATCATCCCGCCCCGCCGCCTTACTCCCTCGCATCCGCAAACCGACCATCCGCCGCTGTCGCCTGCGCCACCGACTCAGCCGTCCTCTCCCTGCTCCTACTCGAGATCGGGTAGACGAGCTCGCCCGTCGGCGCCGATGAACCTGCATCCGAGGGCGCCGTCGAGTTGCTCGAGGTCGACTGGCCAAGCGCGAGAGTCTGCATCTGCTGCTGGATGTACTGCGTCGCGAGCTGCGGGTTGACCGAGGCAACTGACGCTGGCGACGACGTTGGCATCGAGTAGGCGTAGGCAGAGCCGGGGAGAGGAGGATGTTGGGGAATCGGCGACGGCTGAACGCTTGCGTGGTAAGGCGGCGTGTAGTAGCCCTGCGCAGCGGGCATCAGGTACTGCTGTTGCGGCGGATAGTGCAGCGGCGGGCGATACGTCGGCGCCTGCGGTTGCTGCGGGTAGCCGGAGAGAAAGGAAGGAGGTGGAGGGACGCCGTAGAACTGCTGCGCCGTCGACGGCTGCGAAGCGTACGCGTACTGTGCGACAGACGGCGATGGTGGTGGTTGAACGAGCTGGGAAGCGTAAGGATACGGTGGTGCCGAGTTCGAATGAGACGGCGACGCGACGAAGTACTGCTGTTGCGGCGTGAAAGCCTGCAGCGACGGCCCGTACATCGTTGTCGGAGGCTGTCGCGCTAGTGGGCGCGGTACAATGTTATAGCCTACCTCTTGCTCGCCGCTCCGCCCTCGTCCTCGACCGCGTCCCCTGCCCAACCCGTTCACGCCGACTGAACCGTCGGGCGCGGGTGCAGTCGCTGCCTGACCGACGAGACCGCTCCGAGTGATGCCGAGACCAGCTCCACGTCCTCGCCCAAGTCCGCCAGAGGAGGGAAGACCGTTCCGCTGAGGCGGCGATTTCGGTCGAAGTGCGTCGAGTTCTGCGCGACGATACCGGATCAGCCATTGCGTGTAGCCCAACGCAATTTAAGACGCACCCTCGACGAACGGCAGCAGCGTGTCGACCTTGCCCAGCAGTTCTGGTCCCTTTCCCTCCGCAGCCAAACTCCCCGGCGCCACCGGTCTCTTCCACCTCGCCTCCCACTCCTCCCTACTCCACTCCTTCGGTGCACCCCACCGCTCTTTCTGCTCTTCTGCGCTGCCTTCGTTCTCAACGGGCGGAACGGGCGACTCGGAGGTGAAGGGCGGGGAGGAAGCGGAGGGGACGGTGAGCCAGCCGCGACGGAGCGAGCGAGGCGAGCCGTAGAGATGCAGGCGGCGAGTTCCGAGGCAGAAGTTCTCGATAAGAGTCTGGATCTCGGGCGGCTTGAGGTCGGGATCTGCGGGAGGAAGAAGGTGAGCTGGGCTGGAAGCGCAGAGCGCGAAGAGGAGCGCACCTTCATCATCGCCTTCCCACACGATGACGTCTGTATCGACGTTGCAATGCACGAAGAACGAGTCTGTCGACCGGCGAACTGTCCCTCGGATGCCCATCAGGCAGTGCTCGAGAGTCGGCTGGAAGAGCGAGGTGGGCTGTGCGGGCGAGTGTCAATCCTGGGCCGAGCTCCAGCCTCGCGGCTTGCGCATGGAAGGGCTGCAAGCGCAACTCACCTCCTTCACCAGATCGCCCTCCGGATCCTTCTTGTTCGTCTTGAGCCAGACGATATCCTCGCACCTCCTGTATCCCCACAGCGTCAACAGCTCCCTTCCCTTCTCGAGCCCGACTCCGCCTCCCTCGCTTCCTTCGAGGCCAGCTTGGCCCGACCCAACCCACAGCCAGATGAACCCGGGTGTCGCTGCAAGTCGACTGATCTCGAGCGAGGCGAGCTCGTCAACTGTGACGGATGGTGGAGGAGTTAGAAGGAGGCAGTCGAAGTGGGCGGGTCGTAGAGCGGCGAGTGCTGAGGACATGGCTGAGGCGGAGGAGGAAGACGAGTCGGAGGGAAGGTTGAAGTAGGTTGGCGGGATGGAGTGTTGCGGCGAGGCGGTGAGGGTGTGCTTGTGAGTGAGCAGCGAAGCGAGCTTGGGGTATCTGCGACAGTAAAGTCAGTACGGACAAGTGGATGTGCTGAAGAAGCAGAACTCACTCGGCAAATCGCGTCTCGACAGCCGTGTTTCGCAGGTGGTTCTGCGGTCGCCCGCCTGTCTGTACATACTGCCCAGAGTAGTCGTTGCGGATTGTCTCTTCCTCCGGGACCTGCGCAAACGGCTCGAAAGATCAGCTTGGAGCGGTAGTCGAGAAGGCGAGTTGCAACGCACGTAAGCTGGACCCCACCGCTCCCTCTTCCGTCTCTGCACCTCGCTAAGCTGTTTCTTCGTCCCACTCCCTCCGTCCACCGCCTTCCCGCTCCGCTCATCCGCCAGCGCCATGCCCAGATGCGAACTCGCTCCTCCCGCCGAACTCTCGCCAAAGTTGCGCTGCGACGCAGGTTGTCCCTGACGGGCTGGCGGAGGCCTGACGGCCGCGCTCATGCCAGTTCCGGCTGGTCCACCTGCAGTCGCGGAAGTCGACGCCTGGCCGAGCGAGACTTGGCGAGGAAAGGGCGACAAGCCGCGAGGTTGCTGGCGTGCGGACTGCTGTGACTTTGCGTTGTTCGAGCGGGATGACTGATGCAAGGCAGGCGGCTGTCGAGCGAGGGGAATGGGAAGGTTGGCCGAATTGGATGATGAGGAGGAAGTCGAGGTAGAAGCGCTCGGGACTAGCGCTGGTGGGCGTGCAGGAAGCCGCACCGGTGCAGAAGCATCCTGCATCGAGTCTAGCGTGAGTAGCGCAGCAAGTTTGCGAGGTGGTGAAGGGAAAGCGAGCGGAGCGGGAGAAGAACGACGACGGCGAACTTTCGAACTGGCTGAGCGTGAGCTTCTCGTAACGAGCGCGGCAGTGGGGTAGACAAGAATACAGTGCAGCTGGACCGCGACAACGAACTCCGCGCCTAAGCCCTCGCACCAGCCTCAGGCCGCTCGCCCTTGGGCACGCTCCACTGGACCTGCAAGATGAGGTGGTCGTAGGGGAGACCGTGGACCTTCTTGAGCGCAGCCTCGGCGTCGGCGCGGTCCTCGAACGAGACGAAGCCGAATCCCTTGCAGAGACCCGTTTCTTGATCCTTGCCGACGTAGATGCTGCAAACAAGTCAACGTCAACCCTCGTCAAGACCAGATAGTGCGCAAGCTTCCGGGGGTTCGAAAGCCGCATGCAGGCAGAAAACGTCAGGACGCACCGGTTGATCCGACCCCTCTGGGCAAACCGTCCAAACAGCTCCCACATATCCGCGTCGCTCGCGTCCTCGCTCAAGTTGGTGACACGCAGAGTCGGGTACGCGTCCCTGTCTCCGCCGCGCAAGCCGTTCATAGTCTCGCCCGGACGTGTGCCGCCGCCCGAACGGAGAGAAGGAGGGACGTATTTGCCGCCGACAGTCGTGCCGCCTGGTGCGCCGGCGTCCGTGGGGAGGTCGGAGGGAGGGCCGTTGTCGGCTGCGGAGGCAAGGGAGCGTCAGCCTCGCCTCTTCAATGCCGAACAGGTCAAACGAGCAAGTTTGCGCAGACTCGATGTCGACTAGCGCGGAAAAAGAACAGGAGGCTCACCATCGCCGAGAGCAGCGCCAAGAGTGTCCTTGTAGGGACAGTGGGCGGTAAAGTGGTCTCCCGAACAGTATCGGCAAGTAACCTTCTTGTTCGCGAGCTGCTTCCTCATCGCCTCGCTCTCATCGTCCTTCTCCTCGGCCTGGATCTGTGCCGCGCAGAGCGTCAGTGACCTGAGGTGAGAAGAGAGAGACAGGAGAAGACGAACCTTGATACCGCCTGCTTGGATGCGGAGACGGACGTTCTCGCCGACAGTCGTAGTCGCGCTCGAAGGACCCGGTGCGGCGCCCTTCTCCTGGCCGAACCTGCAAGAACGTCGACGGTCAATACTCGAACAAGGCAGAGAGATCCGCCTCTAATCTCGAGAGGGACAGCAACCTGACTCACTTGGCCCAACCCATCCGCTCCGCAACAACGTGGTTGACCGTAGTCTTGACAAGCGTGCGCTTGATCTTGCGCGTAACCTTGACCTTCTTGCCCTCGTCGTTCAGGCGGTACTCGACGATGGTCGTGACACCGTTCGCGTCGGTCGTCTCGGTGCGGGGAGGGAACTCTGCGAGGGTAAAGGCGGTGTCAGCTTGTCTGGTCCTGCTACTCGGCCTCCGCTTGTTCGTCCATTTCATCAACCCCTCAGGACCCGTCCAGCCCGTCTGAGTCGTCGACGTCCTCCTCGAGCGAACAAAGGCAGCTGGAGAGTGCCACCCCGACACCAATCCGCCGGACGCTAACACCGCCTGCCTAATCTTCCCTAAGCCCACTCGAGCCATCCACATGCTCCCAGCCCCCAACCAGGCCATTGCCGCAACCCAGCAACTCGTCGCCTCCCTCAAAGTGATGGGTAATCTCGCCCATCACAGCTTCTGGCGCCCGTGCGACACCTCCCACAAGCTTCAATCGCTTCGACCGTCCGATCTGCCCACGCCCAGCCCGCCCAACCGCCGTGACACCGCGCTCGAGAAGTCGCGACTGACCGGCACCCTCGACATCGTCAGCCCAGCTCTTCCTGCGCGGCGCGGGCCGTACGAAAGGTCAGCACAGCTCTGAATCAGCGTGTGAGAGGGTACGCACGAAGCAGCCATTGTTCTCTGCGTGTGGTGGCGGGTGGTGATGGGCAGCGAAGGAGCTCGCGCCGGTTTGGAGGGGAGTGCTCGCTTGGCTGCGTCGACACGCTCGTGCGGCGAGACAGACAAGCTCTGCGAGTCTCTAGGAATGCTCCTGCTAGATTTAGCGTCCAGCCAACTCGCTCGGACGCCGCGCCGTCGTGCCACACCCACCCGCTTTGCCTCGAGGTGGACCGCAATCTGCGACGGCGCCAGCGCTCCTTGCTTGTTCCTGCTGTGCGGACGCTGGAGGAGACTCGGTGCCTGGGACATTGCTAGTCGGCCATCTGGCTCGAAGCGGGAAACGGGCGTCACGCTCCGTCTGTCCACCCTGTCCTGCTTCCCGTCCGCTCCGCTGATCGTGTATGACATGATGTTCGTTCCAAGAAGTATAGCTACATAAGTCTAAGCAGACTGTTGACCCCGTCCAGCGAGGTCTATCGCATGAAGGCGGGCATGGGAGCGAGCGAGCAGGTCGGGAGTACGAAGCGGTGCCAGGACCAGAGGTGGAGAGGGGGGAGGCCGTGCACTAGGCCGAGGGCGAGCCTGTCGACAGATACCAAGGTAAGCCTGGAAGCGAGGAGAGGAGGAAGAAGGGTGACGCACCAGCTCTTCCCTACGACCGCCTGTCCCAGCACCACAATCCACAATGCAGTCCAAAGCTTCCCTGCCCACCCTCTGACCCTCTTGCGCGTCAAAGCGACCCACAAACTCTCGAGGAAGACGGCGACGGGTTGAAGGAGGAAGAAGACAAAGGTGCCGTTTCGGTCGAGGAAGGAGAGCGAGGAGGAGGGCGGTGGGTAGATGGAGGTGAGGGGGATTGAGTGTGCGGCAGCGAAGGCGAGGCCGGCGGGTGAGGGGTGGAGGTTGTAGCGCGCTGAGACGAGGGCTGCAAGCGATACGTCGGGTCAGTCGGGAATCGCTGTCCGGAGAGGAAGCGGCACGCGCCTTGCCAGTGCATCCATGCTGAAAGCGTAAAAACGACGAAAGCGCCGAGCAGCTGCGTGACACGTTTCGGCAGGCCCAGTCGCTTCGAGAGGGCAAGGGTGGGCTTGTAGCCGAGGGAGGTGAATCTGCGACAAGCGCGCTCAAAAAAGAGTCAGCTTCTTCCTTCAATGAAGTGGAGCCGCGGACGGATGGCCAGGCGCGCGACTCACGTTGCCCTGAACAAGAAGTGCCACCTCGCACTCCAGAACTTGGTCACCCCTCCCTCGCCCATCTTGCTGAACGGGCTATCAAACAGCGCCGGATACTCCCTCACGTCGAACCTGCTCCTCCACGTCAAGTCCTCGCTCCATCGACGTGGCAAGACGGCTTGAAGCGTGTCGAGGAAGGCGTTCGTGCCACGGTGGAGGAGGTAGAAGAGGATGGCGAAACCGTTGAAGCCGATCTTCATTTGTACCCAGAGCGAGACGCCGATACATAGTCGTGCGAGGGTGGCCGAGACGAAGACTGCTGCGTCGTGAGGGAGGATGTGGGAGAGGTGCGATGCGAGAACGCCGTCGCGGTCGAGGACTTGCAGGGCGAGACACGCGCTGCTGACGAGGTGAGCATTGTAGAATGCGACGAGGCGATCACGAAGGAAGGTCTTGTCGTTCTTGGGTGCGGGAGGGAGGTCTCGCGCTCGAGGTCCGCCGGCGTAGCCGATCATGCGCATGGCGCTGAGGAGATGTGCGGCGTCGAGGAGGATGCGAAGAGGGTGATGCCGTTGCGAGTACGAGCGAGTCGCGTTCTTGCGCGAAGTGAGAGTCGGGACGTTAACGGAGGAAGGGGGTGCGTCGACGACTGAGGGCGGCTGGACGGGGCCAACGGGCGGCGAAGGGGACGGGGTCGGCAGCTGATCGTTCAACGACGAGTTTGAGACGAGCGAGAGAGCTGGAGAAGCGAGAGGGCTGACAGGCCGCGGTTTCGGGGCGACGAGAGTCCCGTTCGCTCGAGGTCGAAGTTCCGCGTTCCCGTTCTCCTTCATCGCCGTACCGTGTCCCGTAGAGCCCTCGTCGACGCCCAGCGCCTTCTTCTCCGCCTTGCCGTCGAACCCGAGCCAGGCCATCTCGTTCTTCCGCTCCGTCTCGCCCATCGCGCCAAACCACACCGCGAGCATCAAGAAGTAGGGCGAGAAGATGCCCCACCTAAAGTTTGCCGTGATGGCGAACTCTACGGGCTCGATGCGCCATCGGAAGGGGGAGATCCATCCGAGGACTGCGGTTGGGACGAGGAGGGCGAGTCGGAGTCGGCGCGAGGTGCGGGCTGATACGCTCGGCTGGAGGAGGACGGCGAGGATGAAGAGAGGTATCGCAACGGAGACGGCGCGCAACGGAGGGAGCTCGAATGCTAGTGGTCGAGCGTCTGTCATTGACGACCCGGGAGTGTTGGGACGGGGCGGGTGACGGTGTCTGCGGATGTCGGAGTGGTCTAAGGCGGTGGTAAGGTAGCGTATGTACCTGTAGCGTGTATTGTAAGCTGTCAGGAGCAAGAAGGAGAGTGGCGAGGGGACGAAGAACTTGACAGCGGACCTCGGAGTTGGCGTTCCTCGGCTTTCGTGTCGATTACGCTCGTCGTGCTGATCCACTTCGTAAGCTGTGTGTAACAATCCCGAGTAACGTGATTGGCAACCCTCGTAAGCCGCATCTCGTCTCGCCCGCCGCCCGTCTCTGCGAACGAGAGAAACGACGTCGTCGGCGACCGCTCGTCCCTCCGGTGCATGCTAGAAGCGATATTCTATCCTGTACAAGCTGTCCCATCGTAAGCCGATGCAAGCCGGGGCACCCGAAGTGGTGTGAGAACACCTTCGGGTCGATGACGGCACGACTTGCTGTCAGCCAGCCTCCTCACCGCTCACCTCGCTCTGGCGACTGCTGCTGGACCGGCATAGACGCTACTGGACTTCCACTCTCTGCCTGATAGACGGACGCGCACTCGACAGACCGGCGCGAAGCGGGATGTCAGCGCGGGACGACCGACTGGAGTCCAGTGTCGCGACCTTCGACCCAGGGCTGAAGCTGTTCGTGGCGATTGCAGCAAAGAGTGCGTACGCGCGGTCTACCGACTCATGCGGGCGCTGCGAGTCGAGCTGACTATCGCGCTTCTCCTCACTCGACAGTCTCGACGCTCCATGCTCTCGCCGGCCGGTACACACAGCATTTGACACTCGACGACCTCTCTCCGCCATCTACACCACCCGCCGAATCGCCCTCGGCATCCGGCTCATCGACCCCCTCCTCCTCCTCCCAACGCAACCCTCCTCACGCACCAAAACCCTGGGACACCCTCCTCGCGCAACGCCAGCTCGATGCAGAACAAGAACGAGTCAAGGTGCTGATGAAGGCGACCATCGCGCAGTCGGTGCATTGGTTGACGCTTGTTTGCGCGCACTTTGGAGTCGAGATGGCGCAGTTGCCGGAGGAACCGGGTGAGGGGACGAGGTTGGAGAATGTGTTGGATGATGTGCCAGCGCATGCTGGTGAGAAGGTCGAGACAGAGAAGGAGGGGGAAGAAGAGAAGAAGCGGAGGAGGGAGAAACTCGAGTGGGAGGTTGTATGGGAACTAGTGCTCGTCTCGCTTGGGCTGGTCGGCGCAGGCCAGCAAGCGGAGGAGCCTGACCAAAAGAAGAAGTCGGGAGGCGTCAACGCAGCAGCGGCGAAAGTCGGCGGCCTCTTCTCCAGCTCGTCGAAGGAGACGCCGGCAAGACCCGACGACAAAGGCGCACCTCCGCCCCTCGACTATACCGCCCTGTCCCGCTCGCTCATCATCTGTACGGCCGACATCCTCGGCATTCCCTTGCAGACGGTGCAGGATGTCGAGCACACGATCGCCCAGTTCCTCTACTTTCAGCTTCAAGCGGCGAACGAGGAGGACAAGAAGGCTGGCGAGAAGAAGGGCGATGTAGACTGGGACGAGGCGGCGAAGGAGTACAGGGAAAAGGCAGCGCGGAAGAACAGCACGCTCAAGTGGGCGGCAACGGGTGCTGGCTTTATCCTCGGAGGGGTCGCCATTGGCTTGACCGGAGGTGAGTGCCCTAGCTTCGGGTTCTACGTCTCTCTGCGATGCCTGCGAGCATCATACTGACATCCGCGTGCCCGCAGGTCTCGCCGCTCCCGCTCTCGCGCCCGTCCTCGCCGGCACCTTCGGCATCGCGGCGTTCTCCGGCGCAGGCGGCGCTGTCTTGATCGGTACTCTACTCGGACTCGGCGGAGGGGCGCGGATCTTCCTCCTCTCTCGCAGGATCACGCTGACGCGCCAGCGTGCGCAGGCGGTCTTGCGGGTTATCGGACTCACCGACGGATGAAGGGCTTGGAGGATGTCCGGTTCGAGCCGATCAAGGACGACGATGCGCACGAGATGCCTCAGATACCTTCTCTGACCGCGACGAGTGCGTTTGATCCCTCTTCTTCCGCTCCTGAACGGACTGACCGTCGTGCTTTCGGCAGTCGTCGCCTCTGGCTTCCTCCTCGACTTGAAGGATAGCGTGGACCCCTGGCGATCCTACGCCAAGTCATCGCGTGTAGACGCTTACGCTCTCAAGGCCGACCCGCAGAGTCAGTCCTTACCCCTCCCCTCTCGCGCCCTTCCCTGCTGACGCGCGTCTGTCCCGCAGCCTTCCTCGAAGCAGGTCGTTCGCTCGACAAGTTCGTCAAGAACAAGCTCGTAACGATGGGCGGGATTGAAGTGATCAAACGAACAGCGTTGGCCGCCGTCTACGCTGGCGTCGCTCTGCCTCTGACGGTGTTCAACTCGGCCACGACGGCTTTCGACTCGGACTTCACGCGGTGTAGAGTAAGTCTCGCGATCCTTCGTGCGAGGCGGGACGCTGATGATTCGGCTCGAGCAGGAAAAGGCGAAGAAGGCGGGCGTCCTCCTCGCCGAGATTCTCGAGAAGGAGGTGCAGGGCAAGCGACCGGTCGTCCTGGTGCGCGCGTCGCGTCTCGCTACCCATCGCTGCTCGTGCTTACGGCGATGTACTCGCCCAGATCGGCTACGGACCCGGCGCCTCGCTCATCTTCTCCTGCCTCCTCCACCTCCACGAACTCAAACTCGGCCACCTCGTCTACTCCGCAATCCTCATCTCTTTACCGGAAGCGCCGTCACCCGTCAAGTGGGCGAGCGCAAGATCGGTCGTCGCGCATGAGCTGGTCAACGTCTGGAGCGGGAACGATTTCGTGCTTGGGATCGCCGCGAGGCTGTACACGCTCAGCACGCGGATCGCTGGGTACGTCTACAGCTCTCGCACTTGTAGCCGCGCGAGCAAGCTAATCCTCTCCTTCGCGCGCTTCGCGCAGACTTCGCCCCGCCCGCGTCGAAGGCATCACCGACATCGACGCCTCCGACCTCCTCACAGCCGGCCACCTCGATCTCCGTCACAAGCTCCCTCAGATCCTCGAGCGCGTCACAAGTAAGCGGGACGAGCAGCCTGCGCCGGCGCCGCCCGAGAAGGAGATGGAGGGATTGAGCGTGGTGGAGAAGAAGGCGAGGGCGAGAGAGGATGTGGGTGCGCAGGAGGGTGTGGTGGAGGGCGAGGGGACGGAGGAGGCGAAGGAGCAGGCGGAGAAGCTGAAGGCTGAAGGCTGAAGTGGAGGAGAAAGCTGGCGAGCGTGACGAAGGTGTGAAGGCGTAGAGCGGGGCTATCGCCCTTTCGGCGCGTGAGTAGAGACCAGCTATGCAGCGTCCTTTTCACACTTGACACGAGTGCATCGCGAGGAAGAACCCGCTCACGTCTTGCTTGACCTTCGCAAACTCGCCTTCTTTCCCAGCCCCTCAATGCCGTGCCCACCGGCGCTCGGACGCGCAGCAGAGAGCAGAAGCGACTCGACCTTGCAGGCGACGCCACCTACTGCCTACGCCACATTGTCACCCTGCGACCCTCGACCTTCTCCCTCGCAATCTTCAATGCCTCCTTCTCGTACTCGACGATGAGCTTGAGCTCCGCTTCGTAGCGACGGGCAGGACCGGTGCCGATGTCGGCGTCAGAGAGAGGCGAGACGGTGACGAGCGCGACGTTCGAGGTGGAGAAGAGGGTGTTGCGGCTGAGTGCGTTTGGAGCGTCAGCCATGAACCGTCAGACTGCAAGAGGAGAAGAAGGTCCAGATCTCGAGAGCACTCACTAATGCACATCGTCGCGCAGCCTTTCCACCAACACCACAATCCGCTCAATGGGGTCATAAGTCGTCTTGTCCTTCAAGCGCGGGTACAGTCTCGCCTGAAGAACCTTGTCGTAGGCTTTCGTGAGCATGTCGCGAGCTTTGACGACCTTCGAGAGGACTTGAGCGTAGAGGCGGAGTGAAGGGAAGTCGGAGGTGAGGAGGACGAGACGGGTCTGGTCAACGTCTGGGGGAGGGGCGCTGTCAGCTGCATTACGTCAGCGAGAAGAGCAATCTGGACATACTGATGCGCTCCCTCTCTTGATAAATCCGCTCAAGCGCCAGCCTCTCCTCCCACTTATGCCTGTACCGCTGCGGCACCGATTCCGGCGGGAACGGCAACTTCGGCAGAGTCTTGGGGTCAGTAGCGAGTGAGAGCAGAGCGAGTTCTTCGGTCGTGAAGGACGGAGGGTCGGGGAGGTCCTCGACGACGCGAGGAGCGATGGCGCGGAGAAGGGCGAATTGGCGGGTGTACAGGCTGTCGCACACCATCCCCGTTCAGACAGGTCAGCGGTAGCGCACGTCTTAGTCAGTGAATGGAAGACGGACCCAGGATGCCAAGTCACATGTACGCTCCTCTCGCCGAGGTACTGCCAAGGTTGCTCAACCGGGTCGCGCTTTTCGTCTTCGACGCTCCGCTTGACGCGCTTCCTCGGCCGCTTAGCGGAACCTTCGTTGATGACCGGCGAAGGCGGCGGGAGGGACGTCGCGGGCGTTGCGGGGCTGTCCTGCGCGCTGAGATCCAACGAGGGTGAAGGAGCGGTTGAAGGTGCGGCCGGGACTGCCTCCAGGTCAATCCTTGGCTCGATGTCGACCTCGTTCCTGCAGAACCAGGATGAGTCGGTGAGCACGCTTTCTACATGAGGAGACGAAGGACGACTCACTCGACCGGCAATTCTGCCTTCTCCGCCGCCGCCCAGCTCACCAACGTCTTCGTCAATCGCTCGCCTGCCTCCCCATCCAAATCTGCCGTGTCAAGGAATAGGCGGACCTCGAGGTCGTGGATCGAGATGTACGATCCGAGGTCGACTTGCGAGAGGCGGAGGACAAGGATTGTCGGGGTTTCGGGCGCTTCTGATTCTTTGCACTCCTCGACTGCAAGCCCGGCCGAGCACGTCAGAACTTGAGGGAGAGACGCAAGAGGAGGGACCGGCGCACCGTAGAAGCTGAGCACCCTCTCCGGCTCGAGCACGAACAGCTCCTCCTCACCCTCCAACACCTTCACCCCGCTCTTCTCCAATCGTAACACCATCTCCCCCTCATCTTCCCTCTCCCCTCCGTCCCAGGTCATCGTGTACTTGCGGAGGGCGAAGTCGAATCGGAGGCTTGCCATCTCAGCGTCGAGTTTGGCGAGGAAGATGCGGTAGGCGAGGTTCGCGAGGTCGTCGGAGTCGCAGTCGGGATGGAACTGCATGTAGAGAAGCTGGTGCAGGGCTAAGCTGGCGAGGGAGTCCGGGAGCGGTCGAGGAAGCGGAGTCGAGAGGAAGGCTGTTGGCGGGATCGCAGGTCAGCTCGGCCTCTGATTTTTGGGAGAGACCGTTCCGGACACACCGCGCAAGTCTTCGCCATTACTCTCCTCCACCACCTTGACCAAGGAAGCGTGATACGCGCGCTGGCGCAGGAGGATGTCGAGATCCGCTCGGAGCGAAAGAACGGCGAGGTGCGCTTCTGGCAGTGTCGTCAGGTCCGTGAGCGGGTCCACCGGGGCCACAGTCACGTTCTTCAGTGGGAGCAACTGTTCGGGCAGCATGATTGGCGGTGAGAGGGAGAGTCGAGGAGGCAAGGAGGGTCCGGACGTCCAGGAGGGCGAGGAGACCGCCTCACGTCGCTGCGCTGGCTGTGGTGAACACTGGCGAGCCTAGAGAGGGCTTTCCAAGCTACACCAAGTGCAAGTAAGCCGTACGCCGTCGTTGCATGGCGGAAGGAGCACCCCAAGAGCACCCTCTCCTCCTCACCTCCCTCCACCCCGTTTGAAGCCCTACATCTCGCATTTACAGCCTTGAAAGTCCCGACAGCACTGCAGCGACCTGGGAAAGTCCCTCCCGCCAGCGTCCCGCTCTCACTCTCGTCCTTCCCCCTCTCCCCGTCGACCAACGCGTCGCGGTGCGCTGATCAAGTCGTTGACCTCGTTCCTCCTCGCTGAGCTCCTCCTGCTGCCCGCCAGACACGCATGTTCTCCTCGCAGCGCTCTAGTAACCTCGCACCAGGCGCAGGCGGCGCTCGCGGCGGAACGCGCGGCGTCAACGGATCCCTCGCCTCGTCGTCCGCTTCGTCGCCCGCAGCGCTCATAGGGCGCAAGATCTTCCAGCAGAAGTACTCCTTGCAGCTTGCGCCGGGCGTGATTGACTGGTTGGACCAGTTCGTGCTGCACTTTGGGATGAAGGACGAGGACGAGATCGCTCACACCTTTGAGCATCTCGTCCGGGGTTGCATCGGCAGCGGAAGCGGGCTGGGTGCGTACAGGGTTCTCTCCATAGTTCTTCGGACGCTGCTCTGACCCCCACGCACGCAGATGGACCGAGCAAGATCACGACAGACCTCCTCGAGGAGACATACGAGCGGTTGCGGGTTGCGGCAGATCAGCCAGAGGATACGGGAGGTGCGGGAGACGACCTCGACCCGTCGCAGTACCTCAAGATCGTCAATGCGTTTGACATGCCGGCGTGGAGGTGGGACGACGTGCGAGGCGGGTTTGAGAAGTGCGTTCGGGACTTTCTGGCTGCTCCACGCACATTGCTGAGGATTGCGTCTTTCCAGGTGCAAGACGGCGCCGACTCTCGCACCGGGAGCGCTGTCGAAATCGCAGTACCTCCGAGACCGGTTCAACATCATCAAGCAGGTCATCCTTCGCAACGAGCACTTCTGCCCTCCGACCGTCGTCGACCCCGAACGGGCAGACTACATGAAGGTGCGCCGACTGTCCACCATCCAGGTCAACGCCTTCGCTGACGCTCGGTCGCGCAGCTCACGACGATCAAGAACCTGCTTGGCCGGCAAGGCGGCCACTTCCTCATCTTTGGCTTGCTCACCCGCATGGAGGACGGCGAGTTCTATCTCGAAGATCTCGACGACAAAGTGAAGCTTGATCTGTCAGAAGCGGTGCGTTCCCACCTTCATACCGAAGACCTGCTCAGACTGACCCGTCCTTTCGCTCGTAGACTCCCGAGTCTGGCTTGTTCACCGAAGGCTCGTTCGTCCTCATCGATGGCGACTACACGCTCGACTCGATCTTCAAGGTTGCCGAGATTGGACATCCGCCGAGCGAGCGACGAGACGAGGCGATGTTTGTTCTGCGTCTCCTCTTCCTTCTGTCAACTCGTGCTGACCTGAGCAATCCGCTCGCAGGAAGATCCACGGCCATCACGACTTCCTCGGCATTGGCGCCTTGTCTGCGAGCGAAGAGGTGCGCTCGCTCCCAACCTTACCCTCGTCCTCCCCGCTAATTCGCCTTCTCCCGCAGGCCGACCTCATCCTAGCCGAACAATCCCCCTCACACGAAACCTCCTTCATCATCCTCTCCGACCTGCACCTCGACAGCCCAAAAGTCATGTCAGGCCTCCAACAACTCTTGCAGGTCTACGATCAGATGGAGGAGAAGGAGATCCCGAAGCTGTTTGTCCTTTGTGGGAACTTTAGGAGCCGACCGTGGTTGTTTGATGGAGAGGCGATGAGGGAGTATACGGGTGAGTCGGCGCGATTCCGTCTGCTTCGTCCGTCGTGCCCACTTCGCTCGCAGGGACGGACGTGGAAGCATGTGAACGGATACTCGCTGACGCTCATCGTACGGGTCTGCAGAACTCTTCGCCAACCTCTCCAAGCTCCTGACAACCTTCGCAAACCTCCTCGCCTCTTCGCACTTCCTCCTCATCCCCGGCCCAACCGACCCGTGGTCCTCCGCCGCCCTCCCGCGCCCTCCAATCCCCGAACCGCTCGCCAAATCCCTCATCGCCAAAATCCCGAACCTGACGCTCGGGAGCAACCCGTGTCGAGTACGGTGGTTCAGTCAGGAGATTGTGGTTTTCCGCGACGATCTGATGGGGAGGATGATGAGGAATGCGGTGAGGTTTCCGACGGAGGATGGGGAGGGCGGTGGACGGAAAGGCGACTTGCGGAAGGCGGTGAGTCCGCCTCGAGAGCGAGCGGGACGCGCCGCAGAGCCTGACTTGATTCCGCTACGCGCAGCTCGTCCAAACGATCCTCGACCAGGCGCACCTCGCACCGCTTCCTCTGACAGTCCGACCAGTCCTCTGGGATTACGACCACGCTCTCCGCCTCTATCCAATGCCTACAACCGTTCGTCCTTCCCCTCTCTCGCCCTCTCGTTCGAAGGCTGACTCCTCACGACCCGCAGCTCATCCTCGCCGACTCGTTCGACCCGTACAAGCTCGTCTACGAACGGTGTCTCGTCTTCAACCCCGGATCATTCCAGCGCAGGATCTGGAGCGTGTATCATCCGCATATGAGCGAGATCAAGGAGCGGATGGAGGAGAGGTGCGTCTCGAGCTTTATCTTCGGTCGAATTGGCCGGTCAGCGGCGAACGCTCGCAACGTCTGCCTATTCCGCCTGGAGAAATGCTGGGCTGACGTTCTTTGCGCAACTCACAGCGAGCTTCCCGACGACTACTAAGCCAACGCGCCTCTCTCGCGATGTCCCCATTCCACGTTCGTTTGCTGTGCTTGTCCTGTGGTACATCGTTGTTGTAAGAAGCCGCGTCTCGCAGTTCACGGACCTAATCGTCGAGCAACGCGAGCGGAGCGATCAATGCAAGTGCACATCAAACGGTACAACAGCTCACCCCACGAACGGGCTCATCGCTACCTCCTGCGACCCGCCCGCTCCCCCATCGCCCGTAACGACCGCCACCGATCCGCCTCTCACCGCCCACTCCTCCACCAACTCCCTCATCCTCTCGACTCCCTCTCCCCGCTCCATCCCCCTCTCCACATTCGGACTACAAGGCACCCAACTGACGAGCGGAGTCGAGCCGGATTCGTAGTGCGCATGGGAGAGATAGAGGAGCAGGCCGGTCGGGTGGAGGGGGATGTCGACTTGCGTTGGGAAGAGCTGGGTGGTGTCGGAGGGGTCGGAGGGGAAGAAGACTTCAACGGGTATTGACTGTGCGGGTGGAGACGGACCGGAGAGGGCTGAAAGGAGGGGCGAGAGGGTCGGGGGCGTGAGAGGCGGGGCGTGTGAAGGAGCGGGGAGGACAAGTAAGGGCCGTGCGTTGGTCGTACCGGGAGGGATCTCGACGGTCGGCGGAACGTAAGGCTGTGTCGGAAGCTCAGCGAGTTTCGAGGAGAGGAAGAAGGCTCTGTGCGGCAGATGCGGCGTTAGCTTCGTCAACCTCGGTGCTGAGAGTGCGAACGTACCGCATCTCCGCTTCGCATTCGACAAAGTACGTCGAGCGCCATTTGCACAGGTCGAGGATCCAGAGGATCGCCAGGTCGGGATCCTGCGAGAGGCGGATGGGGTCAGCTCGATGTTCGCTAAGACAGGCGGGCTCCCTGTCGCTGCGACGCACCCAGATAGCGTCAAGAAGACAGTCTGGCGGCAGCTGCGTGTTGAAGCGACCGAGTGCTCGGCTGTCAAAATCGCGAAGGTCAGCTCCGGCGAGGAAAGGGAAGGCTCGGTCGGCTCACCCTGCGACTCGGCTGTACAGGATTGTGTTGTTCCCGGCTGTCACGTGAGACAGCACCGACGCAGCGTCAGCTTGCTTCGAAAGTGCTGCAAACCGCTACAAGCCTGGTGGAGACGACGCACCCTGATCACTCGCCGTTGCGCACAAGCACCGCTTCCCCTTCGGCACGACCACCGCCCGCCACTCGTTCTCCAACCCAGCCGGCAACGAGTACCGCAAGTCGAGCGTTTCGGCGTAGCTAAGCAGGTTCTTTGCCCAACTCTTGAATTTCGGCTTGTAGGCCTTGCGCTTCGTCTTTGAGATCTTTGCCGCGATAGCTTCGCCTGTCGGAGGAGGAGGAGAGTGTGCGGTCGGTGGAGCTGGGGCGTACTCTTCTTCCGAGGCGGAGGAAGCGTCGAGGGAGAGGTCTTCCATCGGGTCGAGCTCTCTGAACGAGGCTCGAGCCGCTTCGATGGCATGAGTCCGCCTCTGCAGGTGTGCTATGGGTCAATCAAACCGCTTCCTTTCCAGTAAGCGAGACCGGACGCACCTGCTTCTGCGCCTCGAGCGCCAACTGCCTTCGCTTCTCCTGCGACGAGTGAGCCGCGAGTGGGGCTGCGAGGTAGCTCGCCCGCCGGTGTGACGGGTCAGCCATGGTGGGCATGGGGAGCAAAATCCCTGTGCAAGCAGTGCAGCCCAGCAAAAGCGGTGGAGGCGGGAGTCTAGTGGGTCGTTCAGGTCAGAGGGGAGGGAGGGAGGTCTTCTGACCCGTCCTCACCTCGTCTACATCGCTTGACGCCGTTCTGCTTGTTCCAATACGCTCTAGACCCCTCTCGCACACCCCAGCACACCTGCCCGCCCGCCATGTCCGACACGAACGGCGTCAGTCCTCCGCCCGCGCAAGAACACCCCGAGCAGCCAGAACAACACGAGCCAGAGCTGCCAGGACCGGGCGCGTTCCTCAAGAGTGTCGTGGGACAGGAAGTCGTGGTCAGGCTGAATAGCGGGGTCGACTACCGCGGTGAGTTCCAGTTGCTCCTCCTCATCAGTCGACCAGGAAGTCGGACGGTACTGACTCGCTCCATGCTCTCTGACTTCGCTTGCTTGCGGTCGCACGGATACAGGCGTTCTGAGTTGCTTGGACGGGTACATGAACATCGCGCTCGAGCAGACGGAGGAGTATGTCAACGGGACCAAGACGAACGAGTACGGCGACGCGTTCGTGCGAGGGAACAACGGTGAGTGCGGGCACTCTGCATCAGTCCGGCTCTCTTGTCGAGTCAGCCAGTGCTGATGCCAAGGCACGCGGCTCGCAGTCTTGTACATCTCGAAGGTCAACTAGGAGGACGACGCGGCGGAGGGCGCATGTAGGCGGGATACCCATGTCATTCTACGCATCACTGCTGTATCAATCACACCGGGGCGGCGCCGACCCGTTGGGATCCGCTTGAGATAGGGAGAGAGGGAATAGGAAGGGAGAGAGGGAATCTTCCGTCGGTCGTCTCTGGCTTGTTCGCGCTGCGCCACCTTCAGGTCTCCCATCCGGTGAGAAGTGTAAGACTACAGCAGAAAGCTGATTGACGGCCAGGGCTGACTCTCTGTGTTCTACTCTCCTCACCATAACTCGGTTGAGGCAGCACACAAGCCTTCGTTGCAAGTGGACGCCCTTTTTCTGCATGCCCTCGTCGCGGTTAGGGCATTCTACTGGTTGTCGTGAATGTCGAGCGGGTCGGCGCGAGTAGAAGGTGAACGCGAGAGGTGAAGAAAGGGTCGAGGAGGGGTAGAGGCATTCTGAGGTTGCTCGACCAGCGCGGCGGTCCCATCGGCCAGCTCGTCGCCTCGAGGAATCACTGGTGTATTCAGTGAGCGACGAGAACCCGCATCCGTGTTAGGGGGAGGACGAGAGGTGAAAGAAGCGTCCGTCGAGCAGGAAGTAGGTTCTGAGCCTCCCTCCGCTTCCTGCGAGCTCAGGCGACCGTCGCCATCAGTCAGACGCTCCTCATCTTCCTGCAACACCAGCTCCACCCCTCTACCTCCCTAAGGGAGAACAAGCGCCGCAAAAAGCCCATACAGCTTCGAGGAGAACAAAGGTGTGCGGATCCGGTCTGGGGAGTAGCGCAGTCGGAGCATCCTCGTCTATCCCAGCGACAGTCCCCAGCATCCTCAGTCCGTGAGCGAGTGCGAGCAGTCCTGGTGAGAGCGGTCGTCGAGGTCGCGCGCTGCTCCGACTCGGGTGACGGCGGGAAGAGCGTTCACGACGGCGGGAATCGCGCGCGCGCCAGTCCCAAGTGCACGAACCTAGGCCAAATGGCTGACGTGTCATTCCGCTACTTGCGCCAGATGCTAACTCGCGTCGTTCTCGCGCGGGTCAACGGCGGGCTCTGGCGACGAGCTGGTTGGGGTGGGCGGTAGCTGCGGGTCTAGCATGCACGCCAAACGAAGAACGACAGCAAACGAGCGAGGTGTCGAGGAGAGAGAGCCGTGATACTGCGCCCGCCGCGCCAGACGCCAAGTGGCAGCGCGCGCTTACTCGAACGGGGCGGGCTCAAACTCGTGCTCGACTCGCTCGACGCCTCTCTTCCTCCTTCCCTTCACTCTTCCGCCAACTTAGCAACAATGGCTCGTACCAAGGTGAGCAGCGCCACTCGAGCACTCTGCTGCCACACAGCACACCGCAGACACCCAGCACGCACGGGCACACGCTGTACACGCTCGCTCCGAGTCACCCAAACTCGCGAGCTCGTCGTCGTCGTCGCCCGCCCTCGACTTCGCTCAACAACAACAAAACAACACCTCGTCGCTCGCTCACTGGGACAGCCTGGACTGACTCGAACACTCGCGCCTGCAGCAAACGGCACGCAAGTCGACCGGCGGAAAGGCGCCGCGCAAGCAGCTCGCCGCCAAGGCTGCCCGCAAGTCGGCGCCGCAGACCGGTGGTGTCAAGAAGCCTCACCGCGTACGTTCTCGAGCTGACTGAGCGTGCCAGAGCGCCGAGCTGACCCTGCTGCACCCGCAGTACAAGCCCGGAACCGTCGCCCTCCGCGAGATCCGTCGCTACCAGAAGTCGACCGAGTTGCTCATCCGCAAGCTCCCGTGCGTTCCCCTTCTGCGTGCTTGCTTGCTAGTGACTGGGAACGAGCGAGCTGACCCCGCCGTCGTCGCCTGCAGCTTCCAGCGCCTCGTCCGCGAGATCGCGCAGGACTTCAAGACGGACCTCCGCTTCCAGTCGTCGGCCATTGGCGCCCTCCAGGAGGCTGCCGAGGCGTACCTCGTCTCGCTGTTCGAAGATACCAATCTCGCGGCCATCCACGCCAAGCGCGTCACCATCCAGCCCAAGGGTGAGTTCCGCCGTCGTCGTCCTCGCCTCGCAACTCGCGCTGACTCTCTCCCTCACTCGTGCAGACATCCAGCTCGCTCGTCGCCTCCGTGGCGAGCGGTCGTGAGCGGCCACGTCCTAGACTGGACCCCGCTTGACCGCACCCGAGGTCGGGGACGACGGTGCCGACTCGGGGTTCAAGGAGGACGAGGAGCGCTTGCACGAACGACGACGATTCGCTTTCGACTTTCACCATCACCACCACCTAGTTGTGCCTGCTCCCCTTTTACACGCTTGCCTTTGACTAGCTCGCCTGTCCCCCTTGTTGTGACATCTGCCCGCCCTCTGCCGCTTGCAAACGAGCGGCCCTCGCACGTCGGGGGCCTGTTTAGCTGCATCCTCGCCTCGTCGGCGGCCGAGAGAACGCTGCAATTTCGTGTGCCAGCTTGCCGGTGATTCCGTCACTCGGCGGCACTCGCATCCCCTCCCTTCTCCTCTTCCCCTCCTCCTCTTCGCTTCTTCCTTCTCCCTCCACCTCTGCCTCCTCTTTCCGGCCCGCCATCCCGTCGGATCTTGGCTCTGAACGCCGCCCGCCTCGCTCTGCACACCCTTTGCCTCCGATCGTGCTCTCGCTAGCGTCGTCCTCGGTCGTCTGTTCGCCGCTCTCTCACCCCCCCACCGCGACCGGCGTGCTCGACGGCGGAATATACAGACCGCTCACCGGTGGGAGAACAGAGCAGGAAGAGATGCGGGGACCCTGCCCGCGACTCCAGCTGGTTCCCCTCTCCTCCTCCTCGACCTGACCCGACTTTGCGATCTCGCAAGATGCTTCTTCCTCTCGCTAAGGGCGCATTGGCTGCGCTTCTCACTGCTACTACTTGCAACGCTTCGCCCGTGGTTCTTGCGGCTCGCAACAACGGCGTACCGACGGCGAACCTCAAGAACGGCACTGTCCAGGGCGTCTCTCTCCCGACTTTCTCGCAGGAAGGTGCGCCCGTTCTCCTCAGCAGTCATAGAAGACGCTTCCTGAGCCTGCAATCCCGCCCCGACAGCCTTCCTCGGCGTGCCCTTCGCTCAACCGCCGGTTGGAGACCTCCGACTTCGCAAGCCGCACAGCTTGAACACGACATTCTCCGGCGGCTCGCACGCAGCGAAGGAGTACAGCAAGTTCGTGCGTCGATCCGTCGGCGGCTGATCGCTCGAGGACAGCGGCATTGACTTGGTTTCTCCCCTCGCAGTGTCCTGGCGTTGGAGGCGACGACTGGCCGTACGAGCTGTCCGAGGACTGCCTCTACCTAAATGTTCTTCGTCCTGCCGGCACTAAGAAGGGCGATAAGCTTCCCGTCGGCCTCTGGATCTACGGAGGTGTGCTCGACTTCCACCCGCCCTTTGCTTGACCAGTTGTTAACCTTATTCCCCAGGCGGCTTCAACATGGGCGGGTCTGGCGATTCGCGTTGTGAGTCTGTGCATGCCCAGGACGATCCCAGGACGTAGGCTGACGTGTCTCGCCACAGACAACGGCAGCTGGGTCGTCGAGCGATCCGTCGAGATGGGCAAGCCTATCGTACGTTCCCGCTCCTCCTTCTTCCGCTCTTACAATACTGATGGGCTCTCCGTGATGGTAGATGTTTGTCTCGATCAACTACCGCGTCGCCGCCCTCGGCTTCATGGCGTCGGAAGAGCTGCGGAAGGAGGGCAACGTCAACCTCGGCCTGTACGACCAGCGCCTCGCCCTTCACTGGGTGCAGGAGAACATCGCTGCGTTCGGCGGAGACCCAAGCAAAGTTTCGTTGTGGGGCGAAAGGTAAAGACGTTCCATTCTCCCCTCCTTCGCTCCGTATGCTCATCTCGCCCTCTCGCAGCGCCGGCGCTATGAGCGTCAGCTACCAACTCCTCGGCTACGGTCTCACCTCGACGAACCTCTTCCGCGGCGCCATCCTTGAATCCGGCAACCCTCTCACCCTCGCCATCACGAACAACTCGCGCCTCGAGACCATGTTCAACGACGTCGTCAACTCTACGGGATGCGCTGGTGCTGAGAGTGCTCTTACGTGCCTTCGCGGCCTCTCGCTCGATGCGTTCAACACCTCGGCGTCCGCATACAGCTGGAATCCGGTCGTCGACGGCGAGATCATCTCCGCTTACCCGTCCGACACGCTCGCCAAGGACGCTTTCGTGCGCGTGCCTATGCTTATTGGCGGTACGCTCTGTCGCGCTTCTCACTCTGGCTTGCGAAGAAGCTGACCTCGCCAGTGCAGCCAACACCGACGAGGGAACGGCTTTCGGCTCGAAGGACATCAACACGACCGAACAGCTCGCCGCCAACCTCCACCTCCGCTACCCTGCTATGACTGGCGCTAGCGTCTCGAAGCTCCTCGACCTTTACCCGAACGACCCCCTCGTCGGATGCCCTTACAATACCGGCGACGCTGTCCTCTCGACCGGCCTCCAGGACAAGCGCTCGAACGCCATCTACGGGTGAGCGCGACGAGACTTTGACTGCATACATGGATGTTGACTTTGCCTCTACAGTGACATGTATATGCAGGCGGGTCGCCGCCTCCTCGCTGAGAAGATGGCCAAGTACAAGCCCGTCTACAGCTACCGCTTTGATCAGCCTGCCGAGAATTCGACGGTCGAGACCGGAGTGCGCCGCTTCTTCCGCTGTTTCGCTCTGCTCGCGGGCTGACCACCTTCGCATCCAGACGACCCACTTTGTCGAGGTCGCCTACGTCTTCTCGAACCCGCTCAAGACGGCCAACACGCTCGGTAACCGTCCTGGCGACCGCGAGCTCGCCAAGCTCATGACGAGCCAGTGGGTCTCGTTCATCCACGACCAGACGCCCAACAACAACGAGAGTGCGTCCCGTCCTTCGTCTCTCGCTACCTTCTCGCACACGGCCTGTCAAGCTGTAGACGCTGACTCTCGTCCTTGCTTCGCTCGCGCAGTTTCGGACGCCCCGACCTGGCCGAACTACCAAGACCAAGCGTCGAACTACGTCTTCCGTCGCCATGGCTGCGTCACGGAGAAGGATGACTACCGCAAGGAGGGCATGTCGTTCATCAACAACCTCGGCTGGGAGGCGAGTGCGTAGAACTGGATGGAGCGCGTGTGAAGAGAGGATAGAGGGGAGAAGCGAGTTCAGCAATAAGACTTGACGCCGGGCGCCTGAGGAATTAAGCAGTACCCCACGGTCTACACAACAAGCGTGCAGCAGCGTCGTGAACGAGTGAGAGGCAAGCAAGACGAGCACGGCGCTCAGTGAGGTGCGAGATCGAGAGGCGAATGAACCGTCTCGCACGACAGCCGCAGGACCTCCACGGTCAAGCTGCTCTCCACTCTCTCGGCCGCCGACGAGGCGAGGAT